AATTTATACCACTACCGACAGAAAATATATTGTAGTTTCTACTGACAGCCTACAGGGTTATAGCAGGAAGAAATACTTTGTTCAAAATCCCGCATGTGCGTTTCCACCCCCCCCCACCCCTTTTGTAAAAACTTGAAAAAATAACAATTTCATTAATTGATCTTTATTGTGAAACCTGTTATTCTATGTTATGGATATATTGTATGCTCTTATTTCATTTCCGTTAAGGATAAATTAAAAGCGGCGAATATGCACATTTTACTGATAAATTGATTTGGGGGGGGGGGGTTTAAAAATTCACAGGTACTCGTGTCTTGGTTTATAAATATGTATGTACCTTATTGATATGTAAAAAATGTACTTTACCTTTTATTTTTACGTATCAATAAGGTTCATACATATATATAAACCAAGACGCAAGTATCTGTGTAAAAATTAGCTTTTAACGCCCTATGAATAGGCCGAGTATATGATACAAAAGACTGTATTACAAAAAAAAAACAAACAAAAACAAAAACAAAAAAACCCTGAAATGTATTGATTAAAGCACAAAATTTTACACCTTTAATTGTATTTGAACAATGTCTTATTCATTAATTTTCTCTTTTCATGTAAGCAGTGAGGAATATATACACATTTTAACGATAAAGTTATTAGGAAAACCTACTACATATATGTAAAAGTTTTCGATATATAAATATATTCAAAACTTATAGTGTTATCAATGATTTACCATTATTTCAATGACCATTCACACATTAGGTTTTCTTGTGTTCCAACAGCTATAATTGTCTCGTTTTCCTTTTTAACATCGGGCTCGATGCTATATGATGTTCTAGAAGCTTCCGTCAATATCAAGATCGGTGAATGACAAAAATAATTTGCACATTTCCCTTTTAATCGTTTATCATAACTTATTTCTTTTATGTCATTTAAATCAAGTTTTGATTGAATAATTCAGTGATGACGTTTTATGAAATAAATAAACGATTGATTGTTGTCAGTTTCATAAAAAAATGCCAGAAACTTAGATCCGCCAACCGGAAACGCCACCATACTCACGTTTTTGCTATTTCATGGCTGTTTATAGAAAATAAAAGTAGACTTTTAATTCAACGTACGATACTTACAATGCGAGTGAAATCTAAATATAGTTTACGGACATCATATTAGATCTAGTGTATTCTTAGAGGAGTAAGTAAAAACTCCGGTGCATCCGTTTCGGAGTTTATTTGCAAAATTTATTAATTTATAAGTATAGATTGTAAGGGGGACGTCGGAATTTTTTCCTTAAAAATTTTAAGCCATATTAAATACAATCTGAACTTTTGTATTCTTTTCTGTTTTACAGTTGATTCATTTCTATCTCCTACTGGCAGATGAAACTTCTCTATAAAAAAAGTGCATATCAAATCAGAAAGACGTGGCTTTCTAAGTAAAATGTAATATATAATAGCAAGCACTGTGAGGAAAGTTAATAATTAAATATTCACTCCAACAAAAAGGCGGTGGTAAAAAAATCTATTTAAGAAGTACCAACTCCTCCCCCAACACACACACACAAACACACACATATACATTCACGTTGGTCATCTGATAAGAAACGTTACAACATAATGGAGAGCAAAATTAATGGATACATTCGTTGACGTTAAACATTTCGACTGTATTTCCATTTTACAGTGATGAACTTCTGAACTGCTAAATTGACTGATGAGCTCTTTAAAAATCCTAACAAATTAAAACAGTTCAAATTCTTTAAAAAATCATTAGTTTTATTTAACTAAAAACTATTATTTATTTCATGAAAGAACCAACAACTTATTTATTCAATTTTAGTAATTATGTGTATAACCTTCATGCTTGCTAGTAAGTTTATACAGTGTTTAGTAAAAAAAATTAAAAAGGAAATCTGATTTGTCAAATACAACAAAACATCTAAAGCATCATTAATCATTTACATTGGAGAGAGAAAAAATACTTAGATATACATCAATTTAAGATAAATGAGCATTAATACGTTACACAAATTCCATCTTCAACTATATAACTTCCCCTGGTACATTTCTGAAATTCACTTCATTATCATTAAATATCACATATTTCTATCGTTCTTTTGAGTTTTATTTCAAAAAGACTTTTTGCCTAGTCATACAGATCTAAGCTATTGTGAACTGTCAGCTTTTTGAAAAGACCAGGAAGCACAAAAGTATAATTCATGCCATTGGTTTAAATATTTTGGCAACTAAGGACAGATGTTGCATACAAAAAAGGATGCCTGGTTTGGTGTATATATTTTTGGACCAATTTTGCTTGTTAATGATGGAAATAACAAATTTCAAAAATATCAGGAAATTGTAAACTTTTTATGATGTTAAAGGCTATTATTGTGAAATTTTGAATGAAAAATTAAACTAATTCATTTTACTTATATAAACATGACTACAGTTGTTCTTTTCATGGTTTTTGAAAAAAAGTTTGTATCATCCATCCTTAAATGTTATGAAAATATTGTTTGAAATTTTCTGAATGTACTTTTATATGTAGATATATTTCTATGTAGTGTGCTTTCTTCATAATCCTATTGTTCCAATTGAACATGTAATTGACGCATGGCTTTATTGTTCTTTAGTCATTCACGAAGTCCAGAAATGTCCGTGTATGTGTTCTTAAGTCGAGACCTGGACATTTGTTTTAGCTTATGATCATCAATTTCAATTATCAAAATTTATTATACCTCCGCTTGAAAATTTGGGGGTATATATAGTGATAGAGGGGTTTGTCCGTCTGTAAAACGCCCGTCTCTTGCATGTCAGGGTAGCTAATGGAACTGTATCTTATTTACATACTACTGGACGAAAAAAGTGCTGATAATCCTAAAATTTACTGATTAAGGCAGATAATAAATGATAAATTTCTTTTGTTGCTGATAAATACTCATATTTACTGAAATTTTTTTTTTTACTGTAGTAGCTGGTCTTTTTGTTGTTGCGAATAAATGCTGATAATTACTATTCCTTTTACTGTTTGTTCTGATTTGTACTGTGGAGAAAGCTGTTAATGTTGAGCATTTCTTAGATTTATTGCTATTGTTTTTAGGACAATAAGGGTGAAATAATGATCGAAGGAAAAGTTAATCTTTTGAAATGCAATGTTTTCAGATTTTTTTTTAAATTTCAATGACAAAAAAGTTACCAAACTGAACACAATTTTTATTTTAAGAAAATTCCATGACCTACATATTGTATCATTTATCATCGGTTGATTAGTGACTAATATATAAATGAAAACGTTTTGTCGATCTATCAAAATTTCAATCGTATTTAAACACATATCTCCCTTTTTTTATCTCTGAAATTCTTATTTTTAGTTCAGTCATAGGAAACTTACATACTTTACGTAAAATTTGAAAATAGAAGTACATATTTTTATTATTTGCATTAATTTTGCTACTTGGAACTTGTGCCTATCTGGAACAAAAATATTTTACATGTAGTTCTTAAATCTTAAGAACAATAGAGCTGTCCCTCCCCCAACCCACTTTTTCATACTTGAAATCAAATATTCGAATAATTTGAATTAACATGGTTTAAATATTTAAAAAAAAAAAAGCAACCAACAAAAACAGCAGAAAAAAAAGACTTGTATCAACTATGAAGCATTTTTTATAGTATACATAGGCAGGTATTTTTCCGTTTTTGACGTTGGCCTGAACATGCACAGGTTCATGAGGTTAAGTAAGACAAGAAGACATTTGTAACTTGAGCACGTGAAATATGGAGATAACGAACAGTATTCGAGCTCAAAAGTCCATTCAAACAAGACAGAATCAGGGAGAGAGCAAACACGGACCTCCAAAGCATCAGAGGTGCATGGAATCAGGTGCCATCGAGGAGTGAGCATCCCCTGCCGATCGGTCAAACCTGCCGTGTGCTCCTTGTAATGAGTGGGAAAAATGAAAATATCCGTAGACAATTCATTTTGTAAAAAATGGCCTAATAATTAGTATGAAATGCGTCAGTCAGCATTTGACTTAAGGATAGATTATATTTGCTGACAAGGTCATTGTATCGACCATGGAACTTGCGAAATGATGACTTTAAACGAGATTGCTGATATTCTTGTTTCATCAACTTGTTTGTCAATATCATTTCTTATTTCAAAAATTGTTGAAATACTTCAGTTTTGGTAGTTTTATAATGTTTAAATGAAAATATAGTTGTAGTTGACCAGATCTCATTCCCCTCCCCGCCCCAGTCAAAGAAAGTCGACTTTTGTCGAAGGGCACACCTGCCGTCTTGCATAACTGCCATCTCGCTCATTTGAAATGTGTGCAATATGAAGGTGAACATCGTTTGTTTCCTTTACCACCTGTAGAAGCTGCTACTTTCGTTTTTGTGCACTGATGAGTCAGTGTACCTGTACTTCTTACAACATGCATTTCAGCAATGACTTCAGACAGATAGTATTTGCTCACAATATCTATAGTGCCATTATAAACATTATACCTATATTGGTCTATCACAAAACCTTTGTCTAAATGTTAAATGACAACAGTTTTTGAAATCTTGGTGTATTAATTGCGCATGTGGGTTCACCGATGAAAACTGTTATTATTATAGCGATTTAAACTACTCAATATGTAAATAAATCAACATCTTTTTTTGCAACATTTAATTGGAAGGGTTTAATGTAAGTGCATTATGTGTAAATATATTTTTATTCACTTATGTATATAAAACTTTTTTCTTCTATAACAGAAAAAGGTTAATTTTTAACGATCAGAAATATCGTCCATACCCCTATTATTGTTTTCGGACATTCATTTGATCAAAAAGACAGAAATAAGTATGCGTATTTTCTTTTCATATGTATTTACTGAATACAGATATAATGCTCCCTACTCTAAAAAAAAAATACACATTCTATTACATTTATGCAAAAGAGTTCTTGAAATACTTTTATAATTAAATATCAACATCTTTCACTTTTTTATAGCAATGAATCTGAGAATTCTTCAATTTACTCTAGTGCTGGTAAATGGAATCCTTACAAAAGGTACGTTTATGAAATTCTGTATGTGTATAAATGAAGAAAAAATGAATGTAGAACCTAATATAGTTAAAGATATCAAACGTTAAATTATTTCTTAATGGAACATTAAATATATTTTCTATTAATCAAATAAAAAAAACAGATTAGGTCTTTTACAGCCGCTTTGTCGATCCTGAATAAAAGTAGATAAAATGTCATTTCTAAAATACATCATCAGCGCTAGTAACTGGCGTTCAATTCTCAATGTGATAACGACTGAGAACTGCATAATCATGTTAATATACAATTAATTAATTATATTATGAGGTTAACATGCTGAAATAAGGACCCGAGACCTGGCCCACGAGGTGACCTGACCTGATCGAGGCCGCGTAGCGGCCGAGGTCAGGTCAGGTCAGCGAGTGGGCCAGGTCGAGGGTCCTTATTTCACCATGTTGAACTCATAAGGGGTAATCAATTGTTTTATTATACCAATATAAGTTAAGACAATTTTTGTAGGCTTAATTACTAAAATAATCAATTGTGTATTAGACCTACGAACTGTTATTATCAGTGATCCATCGAGATCGGGATTCGCTAGTGAAGTTGTTTACTTTTCGCCTGGTCTTGTAAGTTTTTGCACCGCCGATTTATTAAAACACACTGTGATTGTCAGTAACATGTATTTCTATAAATTCACAAATACCATTTCCGAGTACAATGACAATCTGATGCAGATTTTTACTGTACAAAAGAGCCAAGTCTGCATTCGTTGATTTTGACATTGTAATGAAAGTTTCAATGAAAACGATAAATTTTATGACGCATCTAAAGGACAATCGTATTCCGTATCATAAAAAGACTATACATAGTTTTATAACGGCATTTTTTGTAATGAACAGTTATTACTGTATGCTTTAATTTTTGAATTTGAAAGGAATTTAGATTCACAGGTGATTTTTAGCGGTCATTTTTTATAATGACCGGGTCATTATACCCCAAGGTCATTATTGCTGTAAATGGTACTTTTTGGAGTCATTATTGAATTTAAAAGCTTTCTAACAAGCCAATCAAATTTGAGTATTCTTCATAGAGGTATAATAATAGTTTATATTAAACTTAGATATTTAGAAAACGTGCTATTTATTAGGTTTCTTTACGTATTGAATAGCTATTAAGACAACAAAATAAAAAAAATAATGCTGTTTTTCATTTATTAAAAATCCAATTTTCTTTAATTAAGACGCACACGAAGTATTTTCTGAATACAAATGGCTGTTATATTACCAATTGATCCGAAGATACATATATTGTAATTAACGTATATTTTCTTCTTCTTTTATAATAGTTATTGCTCAAGACCCTTGCTCTGCATCAGTGTATACAGAACTGGGAGATTTAGCGAAAAGAAACCCAACTTACGTCCAGGATTCTGTCCCAGTATGTGACAGATACATTGATCGGAAGTGGTATAGGGCACGCTTCCACCAGATGCCAACATCCGCGCCTTCATTAGGGATGTGTGGGACAACGTATCCCTACTGGATGGATGGTAAATATACTAGTGAAAGATCTACACTTTCAACGTTTTTTTTATTAATTGATCAAAAATTGTTATTTTAGATATCCACTCCCCTGAATGTGGATACTGTATAAATATAGATAGACGCGATTTTAGCAAGAGTTATTTCCCGTTGGTCGCCATTTGGAGGTCAGCAAGCCCAGTTTCCTTTTCCTTTTTTTCTTTTGTTACCAATTATAACTTTTCCTACTGGGACATGAGGTATAGATAACAGTTTTTCTTACGAATATTTGTTAACAAAAGCTAAGCTTCCTTTAATTCATAATTTTAGTATTATAAAGATGTTTGCTAATGTATTTCTGTCATACATGTTGATTGCTCAAAGAGGAAAATTCAATAGTCTGACCTCCAAGATGCCGGCCAAGGGAAATAACTCAAAGGCAAAATACGTCATACGAAAATTATCTATTTCATAAAGAATATCTCCTTGCAGTGCTAGATAATGTTTTAAGTAAAAAGATTACTCTTCTACTTGTCACACAACTCTCTGGTGAAATTTTATACGTTTTTAGACACCCAGACCCGCTAAGATGGCCAACTAACCATTACATTAAAAGTTTAATATCTTGACCTTAGCCTGTCTTTTAACACTTTTGTATAAGTTCAAATTAAATTTCAAAAATTTTAATGAAACACATTTTTTGACTTCTTTTCTGGAATGCCTGAAAAAATGCTAGTAATTTTGGTTCACAGCATCTATGGTCTTTGTGAAAAGAAATTTCAGCAAATCAAATATAATTGTTCAGAAGGAGCTTTGCTTAGGCTTCCCTATGTCTTTTGAACCATCACATTTTCCCCGGCCTTATTCTGAAAACGTGAATGATATGTTGTCGATGTAAATGGAAGCTCTCATATCGATTTTATCCTTTATTTCATTTTATTGTATGTTAAAAAATAGAAATATTTGAAATGACTTTTTATACCCCCGCTCCGAAGGAGAGGGGGTATACTGTTTTACCCTTGTGTGTATGTCTGCCTGTGTGTCCGTGTGTCTGTCCGTAACAAATTTTCGTAGCAGTTTTCTCAGCAACTACTCATCACAGATGATTGAAATTTTAGCACACTCTGATTAGTTATGCCATATGGTGGGGTTCACTTTTGTTCAAATCCGATGTCAGCTTCCTGTTTTTCCGTGCATCTGTCCGTACCAAATTTTCGTCACAGTTTTCCTAGCAACTACTCAGCGCAGAGGCTTGAAATTTCAGCACAATCTTTGCTTAGGCATGCCAAATGATTTATTTCTGTATGAATTTGATGTCAACATGAGAGTGTATATTCACATCAGAGCGGGGGTATTTACTTGTTATTATTCTTTTCAAATATATTCTTTTGAAAGACATTTTCTTCCTTTTGAACGATTTAAAATCTTTCAAATGCCGAAAAAGTTGAACCTTTATACTGGTGAGAAAAATAAAGTTATTGTGATTTGAAGACGTTAAAATAAATGTTGACATTCAACTAACGATGGAAAGTCCGAGTTCAAGCTTGGCAGTACTATATCATCTTTCCTTTATAAATCCTCACTCTTTTTTCTTGCATTGTGGAGTTGCACATAGCATTTGTCGGGCTAACTCTTCGTATTTTTTGCTTCATCATACGCCTAGAATATATAAGCAAAATATATGAAATATGAAGATAAGGAATAGTAATCAGCATCAAAAGTCCATTGCAACAATACAAATTGGGAGCAGAGCAAGACCAAACCTCTAAAATCATCAGAGGTTAGATTATAATTAGGTGCCATAAAGAAGTAGTAAAAAAGGTAGTAAGCATCATTTCAACTGCATATAGCATGATATCACGGCTGTCAAAAAAATATAATAAAATAATACTCCATCGTTCTACAAATTGTTAATAAGAATAACTGATATTTGAAAAGATCAGATCGGCACCCTTTAGAGAGAGATTACAGTTTTTCAGGTAGTGTAACCTGGGTAAAAATGAAATATACATCGATCTATGTTTTCTAATAATAACAAGCCTTTAGACATCTCTAGTACTTGGCAGCTACCAGACAAATATTTTATGATTGTGATAAGCGCTGAACGCTACAGCAATGCCTATCTCTAAGGTAGAGGTACAGTGGCACCCTTTACAGTAGAGATTAAGGGGAGGGACCCAGTTTAAAAAGCAGATTTTGTATTTTTTTTACCACTTTATTTAACCCTCCTGGAATTGGGTTTTCTATGCCACAACGGACGAATTTGAAATTGCATTGAATTTCTTTTCACACGAACTTCTAATAGACAAACTGGATGATAATTTGGAGCCTTGAAAATTTCCTAAAAAGAAAGAAGCATTTGTGTAAATTGTATAATTTAATTTAAAGATATCCTTTATTTTATCTTTTAATCAGGTTTTTAGCTCACCTGAGCCGAAGGCTCAAGTGAGCTTTTCTGATCACTTTTTGTCCGGCGTTCGTCTGTCCGTCTGTCTGTCTGTCTGTCTGTAAACTTTTAACATTTTCGACTTCTTCTCAAGAACCACTGGGCCAATTTCAACCAAACTTGCCACAAAGTATCCTTGGGTGAAGGGGATTCAAGTTTGTTAAAATGAGGGGCCACGCCCTTTCGCAAGGGGAGATAATAGAGAACTAGTAAAAAATTAATAGCATCTTTTAAAAATCTTCTTCTCAAGAACCACAGGGCCAGGAAAGATGAAACTCATGTGGAAGCATCCTCAGGCAGTGTAGATTCAAGTTTGATCAAATCATGACCCCCGGGGGTAGGGCGGGGCCACAATGGAGGATCAAAGTTTTACATAGAAATATATAGGAAAAACCTTTAAAAATCTTCTTCCCAAGGACAGCAAAGCCATAATGAGTCATATTTATATGGAAGCATCCTCAGGTAGTGTAGATTCAAATTTGTTCAAATGATGATCCCCAGGGTTAGGGCAGGGCCACAATGGAGGATCAAAGTTTTACATAGAAATATATAGAAAAAACCTTCAAAAATCTTCTTCTCAAGAACAGCAAAGCCATGATGAGTCATATTTATATGGAAGCATCCTCAGGTAGTGTAGATTCAAATTTGTTCAAATCATGACCCCCGGGGGTAGGGCGGGGCCACAATGGAGGATCAAAGTTTTACATAGAAATATATAGGAAAAACCTTCAAAAATCTTCTTCTCGAGAACAGCAAAGCCATGATGAGTCATATTTATATGGAAGCATCCTCAGGTAGTGTAGATTCAAATTTGTTCAAATCATGACCCCCGGGGGTAGGGCAGGGCCACAATGGAGGATCAAAGTTTTACATAGAAATATATTGGAAAAATCTAAAAGAATCTTCTTCTCAACAACAGCAAAGCCATGATGAGTCATATTTATATGGAAGCATCCTCAGGTAGTGTAGATTCAAGTTTGTTCAAATCATGACCCCTGGGGGTAGGGCGAGGCCATGATTGACTATCAAAGTTTTACATAGAAATATTTAGGAAAAATTTTAAAAATCTTCTTCTCAGGAACAGCAAAGCCCTGATTGATCATATTTATGTGGAAGCATCCTCAAGTATGTAGATTTTATTTTGTTCAAATCATGACCCCTGGGGGTAGGGTGGGGCCACAATGGAGGATCAAAGTCTTAAATAGAAATATATAGGATATTATCTTCTACTGAAGAATTGCAAAGCCATGATTAGTCATTTTGATATGGAAGCATCGTCAGGTAGTGTAGATTCAATTTTGTTAAAATGGTGACCCTTGGGGATAGGGTCAGACCACAATGGGGGATAGACAATTTTAGATAGGAAAATATCTTCTTCTCAAGAACTGAAAATCATGTTTAGTCATTTTGATATGCAAGCATCCTCAGGTAGTGTAAATTCAATTTTGATCAAATGATGACCCCCTGGGGTAGGATGGGGCCCAATGGGGGATCGAAAGTTTTACTTAAGAAGAATTAGAAAAATATTTCTTCTCAAGAACAGAAAAGCTATGTTTAGTCATATTGATATGGAAGCATCCTCAGGTGGTGTACATGTAGATTCAAATTTGTTCAAATGATGACCCCTGGGATAGGGAGGAGCCACAATGGGGGATCAAATTTTTACAAAGGAATATATGGGAAATTTTTTTGAGCATCTCCTCAAGTACAACAAAGCCATTTGTTATATTGACATGGAAGCAACATCAGGAAGTTTAAAATTCAAGCCCCCCCCCCCCCGGTTGGTAATCTTTTCAATACTGAACTCATTTGTGCTTTTGCCTAGCCAATGTGCTCAGGTGAGCGATGTGGCCCATGGGCCTCTTGTTCTTTATTCAAATGATGAAAATGGCGGGTGGGCAGGTGGCTGCCGAAAGGATACATCATTTGTCCTGAAATTTCAACCTACAGCTTTCAATATAAGAACATTTTCATATTGCAGATCTCTTGCACATATATCAGAGATGTACATACTGCTTGGATTTTGAGTTTTGATAATTTGTGAGAAAAATACCAGTTGGTAAACTTGTTCTTTTTTTGGGAGAATATTTCATATAGGTTACCCTATATTTCCGGATAACTCGTCATATAGTTTTCAAGATAGGGAGTTCTTGTTTTGCAGATCAGTTGTTCATGTTTTAAAAATTTGCATATTGCATAAAATTTGATTTTTAATTATTTTTTGAGAAAAATACCAGCTGTGGAACTTTTTTTTTCAAAATATTGCATATAGGGTACCCCATTTCTCAAGATGAGTCCTCTTACAGTTTTCAAGATAGGAAGTTCTTATTTTGCAGTTTAATTGGACATACATGTATTTTAGAGATGTCCACTTTAATTGAATTTTGATTTTTGTTTATGTAGGAGAAAAAGCCAGCTGTTGAATTTAGTCTCTTTTTTGTGGCAAAATATACCATACAGGGTACCTAATTTGTCCGGATAACTCCTCCTTCAGTTTTCAAGATAGGATATTTTGTCTAATTTTTCAGATCAATTGTACATATATCAAAGATGTTCATTTTTGATAAATTATGAGAAAAATATCTGCTGTTAAACTTAGTCTTTTTTTTTTTTTGCAAATTAGTGCAAAATATTCCCGATAGCCCCAGCTACAGTTTTCAATATAAGAAGATTATATTTTGCAGATATCAGTTTTACATGTATCAGAGGTGTGCATACATGTACTTCTAGGATGTTGATTTTTGATCATTTATGGGGGAATGCCATTTGTTGAACTAAGTCGTTTCTTTGCAAAATTTCCTAATAGGATATATTGATTTTGCTGGAATGTCACCTCCTACAGTTTTTGGAATAGACAGTTTTTATAAGAATAGACAAAGTTCACATATACAAACGTTATTTCTTTTCTAGAGACATTTTAGGGTCAACTGACATAAGGTGCTGTTTTCCCTCTATAACATTACCAACTTTACGGTGAAGTAATCTTTATGTGTATGTTCAGTATGTTTCTTTGGTAACCCATACTTTGCCTATAAATGTTTGGAATAAAATTGTAACGTTTAAATATTTCAATTTTTTTGCACGTAAGTTACAAAGGACAGGATGAGAAAAATGGGTTTTTCACGACAAAGGAAAATAACTCTTGCAAATAGAAAATCTGTCTTCTGATATGAGAATTACCAGTTCTGTTCATACAAAGAAAACCTGGTTTGCTGTCACATCGACAGCTTTCCACTTGTTTTAATTGTATTTTAAAGGAGCTTGTCAGATATTGTGATAATGTTTTGATAGATTCGCCACCAGACTCAGGAGAAACGAAGACTGCCAAAGTCTGCCAGGTTGGTTTTAGTAGTACCTGTTCAAAGGAACACACCATTAGTGTAAAGAATTGTGGGAATTTTTTCGTTTATGAATTGACACCATTGGATCTGTGCAGCTCTGCATATTGTTTTGGTGAGCTAACTTATTTATTTCAGTTTTACTTTTTATGTATCTCGAGCTCTTTCAATAATAAAGTGAGCGCTGCTGCCAGCCTAGAAATCGATCTGTCCCTGCAGAATTATTTGTCCGGAATAACTTTACTCTATTTCCAAATTTAATAAGAAAGGTTAAGCTTAAATTAGTTAAATAGAGTATTAACCATTTTCTCTTTGAATATTCGATATCAACTTTTTTTAAATTGAATAATATACAATGATATATTTGAGAAAAATACTCGTTGACGCTACATATTTGAACCTACCAGAATGAAAAATTACATTAAGTTTATTCTAGCAATTTCACACTTTCTTTAACCAAGCATAAAGGGTAATCTCATCTGTGTATTCTTTTAAGTCGTAAAAATTCAGGATATGAATCTATTAAAATACCTACTGAGAATATCTCCTTTTTTGTTTTCAGAACCAGGCTCTTCATGTAAGTATTTTTTTATATTGATAAGAAGACCAAATGTCGATGTTCAAATTGCTCTCTAATTTCAACATTGAAACATAATGCTTCCCTATAATTATGCACTGTACGCTCTCTTCGGAAAAGCTTCATGATTTTCAACCCTATTTTGGAATAAATGCTTCGAAATTTGCAGGAAATGTTGAGACATTTAAGAGATACCCCAAAAATTAACTATTTTAGATAATTTACTCTCCCTTTGTAAAATATTTTAAGAAATCTTTTCAAAACTATTCCCGTCTTCATTTTTATGAATATATCCTTAATACGTTATTGATTATTCATCCTTTTCATTTTGAGACTTTATTGTCCATATGACAAATTAAGATAACCGTGCCTTGCCAGTGACCTTAAAGTCATCTAGTATCTCATAAATACACCTTTGCTCAGAATAATCGCAGAATGACTTAAGGACCAGAATGAATTTCTTATTCATTTATTTTTATAGGTGTTACTGAAGTTCCATCAAGTATAACAGTAGCTTACCACAGCGTTTCCTGGACAACAGTAATAGTAGGAATAAAGACGATACATGAACCCGATGTTCATTTTGTCTGTCAGTTTCAAAGATTGGCTGACCAGAATCTTTATTACGAAATCACGTGGTATGTTGACAATACAGAAGTTTTCCGCAATCAAACAATATCTGCATCCGATGCAGCTTTGTTATCAGGGACGCAGATGCTGGCTAAAGGCAAGAAGGCTAACTCGATGGTGAGTGATGGATTGAACATGTTTTAGTAATCTTGGTTTCAGGTAGGGATCGATTTCCGTTGCATTTTAATTCAACTGATCAACATCACCACCCTTACCTTTATACATGTATATCGTAGTCTTGTTTGCTTTGCTCACTTGCATGTACTTTTTGAGTTACTAAGGCCAGAGTTTTTTTATTTTCTGTTTAACGGGAATTTTTAAGAAAAAGTCGGGTCGAGGGGACGAAATAAAATAAAAATAAAAAGTTCAAAATTTGTCGAGTCGAGACCATAAAAAAAATAAAACCCAAAAATGGTATGAATTTTTTTTTATAGAATGTTGAAAAATGAAAGAAAACACAATAAAATTTTGTTTATCATTTATTTGGATTTCAAATATGGATAAAAAGATACACCTCCTAACTATATGCATGTGTCATCCTACTGTGGTTAATTACACTTGTAAATTCTAGTATGAAAGCAAAACAATAAAATTTACAGTTTAAATTATTATATAGCAACAATAATGTTGGATACACGGATAACAGAAAAATCCACACTGCTTAAAAATTTATAGATGTCTTCTTTTGGTCATCTCCTACTGTATAAAATTTATAAAAGTAATGATAAGAAATGTTTTAAGCTACATATATTTTGATTAAACAGAAGTTTGGAGAAAAATATGGGGTTGATAGCTAACTTGACAATGCATTCCTAGTATAGGACTAACACATTCTTGAGGTTCAGAATGGAAATTTGTCAGCTGAAATTATTTGACGAACAACAGCAGTCATCTTGGAAGTCTTCTGAACTCTTCACAAATGGTTGGGTCTCCACCAAGAAATCAAACTGCACAAAAAATGCATTGTTCCTTTAAGATACTTTATTAATATAACCAAATACAAGTAGTAGTTAGAAAGTAGAAGATAAAAAACAGTATTTATATGAGATTATTTTCTTTTCTTAATGAAGATAAAAAACATTTTTTAAGAGTTTTTGATAATAACACATTTCTTATATTATAAATATAATAATTTTGTTCTTTGTTCAATTTGCATTTAAAATATTAAATTGGACATTTAGTTGACTTAATTCTTTCTATCTCTACCTTTCCACAGGGTAATGTGTGCAACTCCAATTAACTGTCACTTGTCAGTGTTAGTTTTAAATATTCTTTTCCAATCGTAATTTTGTTGGAATCCTGATCTCATTTAATTCAACCTAGCAGACATGGACTTGTATCTAAAATATTTTAATCGTAATTTTATGTCCCTGATAGAGTTAAACATAATTCATTGTAAAATTAAATTTTACCGCGAATTTTACCTCAATTTGTTATGTGATCAAATTAAATATACAATGTAAACATCTTTAAAAGAAACAAAAAAAGTATCAAAAAATGTTAACCATCGAACAATTGTAACAGAAAGTTTATTAAGACGTCAAAAAACTTACCCCCAACTCTTTAGACACAAGTTCAACAGTTCACATGGTTCAGTGTGCATCTAGTGTATTTAGGTTGTTGATGCCTTCATTCCGATTTCAGGATCTTTTTTCTCTTTATCGTCAATGGATTTAATATTACTATCTCGTCATTTTTATCTATAAATGTCTCGAAATGGCATTTTTGCTTGTTGATCTGTTGATAGAACCCGCGAAAAGTGCGTTAAACTAGTTCTTTAAACTGGTTATGATATCATAATCAGCAAGACGCTAGTACAAGAATTTATTAACACAAGCTATGTCAAACGTTTACATGATCTATTAAAATATGGTGTACAACAAACCCGATTTTATTTCAAACCATCAATAAATGACACAGTCGGCGGGTATTTTAAAAATAAAAGTGAGATTGACCTCTTTTATTTTTTTTTCGGTATTTTGAAAAAATTGGGTCGGCGCTTCCCGTTAAACAGAAAATAAAAAAACTCGGGCCTAATTGTAGTACATGTATTTATAAAATTCATCAATACTTGCAATAGAGATGTAAAATAGACACTTAAGAAATGATTGACATGTTTGACTATTAATATGCAAATATTAAGTTATATATAAGTATATTTGGAATATATTTATTTAATATTAACAGATCCACTGTGTGGTTGGGGCAAAATTTAAGATAGGTGACAGTCCTTGCGAAACCAATCCAAGTTCTCTATTCTTTGCAGGAATAAAGGTGTGTAGAGAAATGCAAGGAAATTTTTTGAAAATGATATTCTGTTTATATAACTGATTTAAGTACACATAAGAATACGATTATCTTTGTAAGTTATTTGTAAAAAAAAAAAAAAATTGAGTCAACCATAATTTAGGATGTAAGATTTTTTAATTCTAATATCTGGATTCATTATCCTCCATTTCGATGTCTGATTTCGACGAGGATGAAAAACACTTGGGTAAATAAATTCATATGTTGAATAAAATAAATATAATAATTTGCATGGATTAATTTTGATTTGCATAATGAACATAACTTAAGATAAGTTTCAATTATTACATGTAGGTTTTGACCCCAATACTTCGCATCAATAGGGGTCAAAGTGCAGAAGTGGAACTACAGCTTACAATACCATTTATAAATCAAAATGGAATTCTAAACCTTCCGGGGAACACAATAAACGATCAGACTCCACTGTATATACAAATGGCTGTACATAACAGCTCCTCGAGCGTCTGTGACGATCCAAATAGAAGATCTTGTGATACTGAAATCAAGGCTTTCAAATACCACGAAAGGGATAAATACAACACAAATGATTGGAAAGTTGTACACAAAATAAAAGTTCAAAATAAACACGATGGTGACTTCAGACTAATCGACAAACACATCACTCTGCGTTTTGATACTGGATTAACAAATGGTCCAGGTAGCAAAATCTGGGAATATATCACGCTTCCAGATATACAGGTTACTATATTTCTTAATAATGCACAATTGTCTCTATTTTCCAACAGGAAGATATGTATATTTTTATTTGTCGCAAATAATCTCGTGTAAGTTTCAGATGTATAATTTCCTTATTGTGTGGTAACATTATAGGCGAACGGTACGATTTTTTTTTTCATCACTTTATTTTACATTATTGAGAAACCAGGTAAACCACTGTTCAAAATCTATTAAGAACAAGATTTAATACTAAAACATTTCTATATTTATTTTTGAAGGTTTATATAGAAGACAGCAGTTCAGCGTGGAAGGGGAAAAATTGTGAATCTCACACAGATCCACATATGAAGACATTTGATGGAAAGTAAGGATATCGAACTGGGAATTTTATGAGCAGTCTTGCATGCCATGTTACAGTTTGCACAGTTTTATATGCTAAAGGCAAAATGTTTATTTCTTCTTATAAGTGTATTGTATGTTGATCTCTCTTCTGTTCTTGTCTTGTTTGAGGTATTAAAAGCATGTTATCATTTGAAATTGCCAGTAAATTTTTCCGATCTTAGTGTGATCGTGATCTGTTTCCTTTCACTGTATACTTTTTTCTACATACTGAGCCAATATCAGCAAATTTTAGCGCAAGCCAACTATAGATAAAGTCAATTAAAATGAATTTGAGTTTGTTTAAAATTTACATCATATCTTTTTTTATGTGGGATAATTAAAAAAATATGGGAAGAGGTCGTCAAAATTCTATGAAGAACTACTAGGCCAGAAAAGAATATTTCATTTTTTTTTAATGAATGGCAATTCATTTTATTAAGTCATTGCTCTGGTCTGTGCTGGTTGAAGTAAAGGTAAAATTATTACAAGAAAAAAAAATTAAATGCACGCGTTTTCCTGTAGCCTAGATCCAAGGTTTTATTTAGTCGATAATGAAATGTGGATCCACAATTACGAGTAAGGGTCAAAGAATATAGTAAAGAAAAGATGAAAAAAAAATAGATAGAACGCTTCTCAAATATAACTGGGCTACTGGGAACAAGACGTTAATGGTAACCTAACAACAAAGCTTTATGACAAACGTGATGACTTCAACTTTTCAATTGTCAATTTCCCTTACTTATGTAGCAATATACCCTTATCACCTGCAATATGGGGTTTATGTCTCTCAGTTGATTCGATACGCAAGAACATGCATGAACAATTTCTAAAACGAGGCAAGCTATTGACAAACAAGTTGATAAAACAAGGATATCAACAGTCTCGTTTGAAGTCTTCTTTTCGGAGGTTTTTCGGTCGATACAACGAATTTTAGATGTGCAGAAAATGATTCAACCCTTGATAAAAATTAATTTGGTAATTTTCTTTATAACAAACTCCGTTTATTCCAGAATGTAGATCATAAGATAATGTACATGTTTCTTTTTGTTTCAATGTATTTACAGTTTAGGAAACCGAGACTGAATTTTATGAATTTATATTTAACTTTCTTTGTTAATATGCAAAAAATGTGAATCTTTGTAGATATTATGAATGTCAGTTGGATGGGACTTTTATATTGTACCGAAACCAAATCTTCCAACAAGAGGTTTGACCATAAATTCAAAATTGAGAATCTCTGTACCTATGTTATTAAGTGTGAAGTAATATACATATATTCTTAATGATATTTTATTTCAGGTACAAGAAAAACACCATATGTGCCATCCTGCCTATTCCTACCCAAGATGCACGTGCGCTGTTGCTGTAAGATCAGGAAAAGACGTTTTCATCGTAGATATATGCAATACGCAAACGGTCATCAACTTCCCTTCTTGTGAGGATAAAGTTTTAAAAGTCATCAAAGCATCTGACAAATTCTACAAGGTGAAACATTAACAACCTCTGAAAAAGTATAACTTTATTATCAAAACTACATGTATTAGGTACCACACTATTCTTTAAAATTCAATAAATATAGAATACGTCATGAGGATAAAAGTGCACTAAACGACAAATTGTGACAATCAATATGATTGGTCATTGCATCAGGAAAACACAGAAATATGGATTTACCTTACAAGGCGCCTTCGAATAAGAGACAGGTATAAGGGAAATAAATTTTGTGTAGAAAATGGGAAATAAGTAGAATAACAAAGAACTCTAAAACAGTCGATTATGTATATCTCTATGATGTACGTCCGTAGATATTCTGGTGGAAATATTAAGGACACTTGCTAAAAGCAAACTAAATTAAAATATCATGAAAATCAGGAAAAACTCTATGTTAATAAGTAAATGATTAACTTTTGACCTATTAAGGTTATTTTGCATTCGAAAATTTTCGAATCTCGAATTACGTCTTCTTGATCAGAGCATGCAGTTGATCGAGGAATAAAAAACATACAATAGGTAGATTGAAGGTCTGCATTTCTAGGTTTTTGTCTGTAAGCAACATGGTTTATTTGTTTACTAAAAACTGCAATTATCGTCTATATACGCACAATTGGAATAAAAAAATTGTGATTTTTTAAAACCTTTTTTTAGAACTGGGAAAACTGCACCAATATTCTAACCCAATGTTTCTCCATCCGTTAAAATTAGACCAATCATGAACATTTGCACTTAATATCAGCAAATATTCAAGTATTGGGATACAGTTTTATATTTACTATTTTTTAAGTTGTTATTTTTTTCTTTTGCTATAGGTGAAATCTATTACAGATGAATTTTCATAAAGTATTCCCATTAACAAACTTTCATATATTGTCAGGTCATTTTACCAACAGGAACGTTAGTGGAAATTAAATTTGTATCCTGGCCGAATTGGAATGACTGGCAGTTAAACATTGACATTTTCCCCTCACCTTCTGATGTAGGGAATTCTAGCGGACTGTGTGGAATCCTTGATGATAATTACAGAAATGACTTCACTTGGAATAATCCTGATAAGACAGTGGACAACCCTGATCTCTACCACTATTATAATCATCCAAACGGATTTTCTGATTCCTGGAGGTAATGTATATTTCATTGATAAAGTCTGCTGCAGATACAAAACCGACCGGACATTTTTTTTATTATTAAGCAAAATATTTTTGAACTAACAACTTAATGTGAACACAAACTTCTAAAATACATATTAGCATTGATAATTTAAATTAAAATCAGTATGCATTCTTATTGATATTATTTCAGGTCGATATGAGTAATTGACCTCGATATTTTTGAATTTAACATCGAAATAGATAATTAACATCGAAAATTATAATAAACATCGATGATAATAATTAACATATTTTTATTGTATCAATAGAAAAAGAAACAATGTTTTAGAATACGATAACGATTCCTCAATTCAGCCATTTCAATTTTAAAAGAAATCTTTTTAAGGGTTAAAAATGGTGAAATAGACCTCTTTGACAACAATGTCTATGGTAGTCTGAATTCCATAACCACAGTTTTCGATCGTATTTGTACCTGTAAAAAGAAAGCCAACAATCCCCAGGACGGAGACATTGTCTGTAGTTACGGTAATTACAAGAACTGCAAGTTTGCGGTGGGAAAAAGATACTTCTGTATCTTAAATCCTGAAGGGCAGTTGAGAAGAAAAAGAGATTTACGCCATTTACAGTCGTTAGCAGCCAGTGTCCCTCGCAGTAACGAAGTCCAGCAAATGGTACACCACTGGTTTCTGTTTTGAGCATTACTTTCAAGCATTTACCTAAACTTGTACTTACTTAATTCCGTTGTCTCTTGAATCAGAATCGAGTAAAACGGCAGACTAATACTGATGTGATGTCAAACGAGAATGCAACGGCCATATGCAATGAAGCATTTCAAGCATCGGATTCGTATTTGATGTGTCAGGAGCACGTCAGTGATCTTGCAAACACGTCATTGTTTAATTGTATTTCTGATGTCATGGTATGTTAACATACAGTTGCCTTTTTTATGAATCTTGTAATTAAGCTTTCCTAAATATGTACATGTATAATGTTATTGCAAAGACCATTGTCACACTTGTAGTAAAAGATTAACATATACATATTACCTCCTTATTCAACTGTTTTGTTTAAACTCCTATTATGAACTTTCAACATTCTGAAATTTAAAAAAATAATGGGAAGTTACTGAGTCCTATGTCCTCTTTTTTTAAAAAATCTACTTGAAACATTTTTTCAGCAATCCGTAAAAAAGTTCCTTTAATATGATCCATCAAAAAAGTTTATAGATTTCAGAAGATATGCTTATAAGGATACTTATTTTTTTTCTTATTGTCAATGCTTCTCTGTTTTTATTTGTAACAGATGACTGGAGACGTGAACATCACTAAAATTCACATAGAAGCAGCTCTAGAGCAATGTTCAACTTTTGTTGTTTTAAATAGTACTTTCCAGGAAACAGAACCAGATATAACATACAGAATTGAGAGTCTTTGTGAAAACAACTGTAGCGGAAATGGTATATGCAATTCTGGTAAGTTTTAGCTATTTTAGTCTCTTTAAGGTCGCCTTCCTAAATACAGTAGTGTTAAGCTGTTCGTTTCATAATATAGATGGCATGGATTAGCTAAATAATTGAAACAAAATTTCCATTTTTTTTTTATTTTGGTGAAATTATTTTTACTTAAATTCCTTAAGCGCAAAAATAAGTCATGATTAATAATATTATGAATACTTTTGATTTGGTTTTGCCTAATGACAAATCCAATTTTTCTTTCGTGTGATAAAAGACAATAATAATATCCGATATATTTGACAATGGTTTAAAGGGTAGTACCCGTTCGTCCATGTAGGTAACTGTACTTGCAATAGTGGGTATGCAGGAAGCGATTGTTCCTTTGATCTGTCTGGTCCTCCGTCAATAACACACATCTCTGACTTCGGATTATGTGACAGGTCTTCCGAAGCGTGTGATGACATTACTCTATATGGCAAATACTTTCTGGAAAATATGAACACAACTTGTTACTTGAGGAGAAAAACGGTAACGTATCTTAATATTCATTGATAATCGCATGATAAAAAGTTTTATATTTTTATATAAATCTTTGCAAGGTTATTGGGACAAGGATGTTTAATCTTAACTTTGTTCTGTATATTTCAGCTGGCTGAGGATGGTACAATTTTGTCCGAACAAAACTATGAAGCCAGTCTTCAAGAAAGGACATTGTTTGAGGGGTACTGTCCCCTTGATTACAACACAGATGACCACTGGATCACAAAATTTAGTTTCAATGTCTCAAATGACGGCAGTAGATATACTGACAACTATAATGTCTACACCTATCAGGCTCTCTGTCAGGAACTCAGGAATGATACCGGGAACATAACATTTATATTTAAGGTATTTGTTTGAAGGAGTATACTTTCTATTGAAGATACAGTGCTATTAATATTCACAATTTTTCTCTTTCCAAAATCTGATACACACCATTACAGTGATCACGCGAAAAGGTGGTCACTGACTTTGATGCAAGTTTCCAAATACATGCAAAAGATTAGAATATGTTAGTGTAAAATTCTGGTTTTGAAACTTATTTTCCCCTTATTCCAATATGGCTTGAAATTTGACGAGGGATTTAAAAGATCGATTGAAATTGTAATACTTCAAATTGTTTCTTTGGGTATCAAACTTTCCTGCATGTCTAGGGAATATTTTGTTCTCTCCAGGCCCATTCATGCTCACATATCATCCACAGGGTGGGGAGATAATAGAAATTTATTTCAAAGAAGTCAAGATCGAAAACAGGTTTCTGTGAAAATCCTTTTTCAAAGAAAATGTCCCCTTTCCTTTTTTTGGAACCGGTCACGGTAGCCTAGTGGAAGAACGTTCGCTTCTTGATCAAGTGGCCCAGGTTCGATTTTCGTTTGCTGTGCGCGTCAAACCTAAGACAGAAAAATAGGTAGTGACTGTTCATTCGCGAAGCGCCCGGCAGTAGAAGTGAAAGTCAAGAATCTTTCGGGTGAAACCTTAAAAATCGAGTTCCCGTTTCACGGCAGGCGTTGGCACGATGAAAAGCCTTCAATGCTCAATGGACCTGAGTGCCGAGTAAAATTAAATTTGAAACCCTTCACTGGTATATGATGACGTCTCTATATGAGTGAAAAATTCTTGAATGAAATATGTTGAGATAACGAACAGTACTCGAGTTCAGAAGTCACAAAACAGGAGCAGAGCAAAAAAGGACCTCTGACGTAAAGCAAATACAATCAATCAATAAATCGTTTTCTTTTGACCAGTCTGGTAAATACTGGACCATAAAGAAGGATTCACTGAACCAAATTTCAAGTTATGATACCAAGACTGACAGTTTTCTATATTAAAAACCTTTTCGTCAGGAGTATACCTTTATCTTTTTCTGCTCCTGGATCAGACACCAATTGACTCTCACCTAGATTTAAAGTTAAATAGGTAAATTTACAACAAGTCAATCTGGCTTATACTTTACCATAGGGATAGCTATGGATAAAGGGTTTGCGGTATCTGTTATACCAAGTTTGGACCATCAAAAGATGTCACCAGTGTTTAAAACAAGTCAAATGTCAACGATAACAATTGTGTGAATTCTGCGTGGAGGGTGGCATTATTTTTAGCCCCATAAAGTCACTAATCCTCCTTTCAAAACCGAAATTAAACAATAAATATATGATATGCTCATTCTTTTTAATACAAGATGAAGCTTCTAAAAAGGTTCTCAATGTCTTAATGAAAATTAGTTTTCATTTCCACTAAAGTCTATCTCTCAAAAAGAAAATATATATATTTGATAATGTATATTTTTGTAGGATGGTTATTGCTACATTAACAATACTTGTGTGGCTGCTGGAGATACAAATAAAGACAATCTCTGTGATATCTGCAATACTGCAAATAATAAATATCAGTGGTCATTCAACACAGGTATTTGTTCTTTATATTTTGATTATTGGAATTCATGTCATGATTCCTTTGCTAAAAACATTTTTGAATACCAAATTTTCTTTTTATTTAACAAGGACACTGTTTTATTGATGGGCAGTGTTTCAAAGCTGGAGCAATAAATGGAACAAATCCTTGCAGTGTGTGTAACCCATCTCTCAACATAACAGCCTGGTCTCCTAATCCAGGTAAACCTCCAGTCACAAATATGGGAGGAATCTAAATACATTCAAATAACAATATTCATTACTTTTGAAATTCAGCATAGTTTTATTTCAACTTTTCTTCTCTATCCAGGGTTCTGTTTTATTAGTGACATCTGTTATTTTGATGGTCAAATTAATCCAAACAACAACTGTGACGTTTGTCAGTCAAATATATCACAGAATGACTGGATATTCAATGAAGGTAACTAATTTATTTCAAGTGAAACAAACTCAGCGTTTTAATCAATAAAAACACCATAAACGTTTGGAATAAATGCAAAAAAATTTTAATGTGTCTAAAAAATTCCCTACAAATGACCGATTATGCATGAAGTGTTGTAGCTTCTTTGCAGTTTCTTTCATGTTATCAGTAAGGATTATATATTCGCTTTAGGTTACTGTCTCATCGATGGATTGTGTGTCAAGAACGGAGACGCACATGTCAGTATGGACTGTAAAATGTGTAACACCAGTGTAAATAAAAACATATGGCAATTAAAGAATGGTAAATTGTAGAACTAATAGTGGTTTTGATAACTTTATGCTTAGCTATACATTTCACGTGTACTGGCTGTTGGAAAGTTCGAATGTCACTTGATTTATATGTTTTGTTCGAAAGAAGATTATTAAAAAAGCTTGAAATTTAAAAAAAAAATGAAGTAATTGGTTGCATCCAGAAATTTACACACAATACTAAAGCCAATTTCGTGTCATATACAAACGAATTTTACAGGTTATTGTCTCATAGAAGATTCTTGTGTTGTGGATGGAGGCACAAACTCCACGTACCCCTGTCTGTATTGTAATGTCTCGGAAAATCAGCTCTCTTGGAGCAAAAACCCAGGTACAATGAGTTTTTTCTTTAGATAAATTACTCCAAATTATCAACAGTCAATAATAATCGAGACATAGAAATGACTAAATGAACATTGTTTTTTAACAGATATTTAATTTTCTACATACTTTATGTGTTAAACTTGTAAAAACTCTAGTACTTGTTTTCATTTTGTTTCCTAGCTTACTGCGAAATCAATAACCAGTGTATATCGAATGGCCAGAAAAATGTTTCCAACGACTGCTACTACTGTAATACTTCTTTGGGACAAAGTTTATGGTCTTTTAGTCCAGGTATCAATAAAATTTACTGAAGTCACAATTCTTCTTTCGGGGATAAGTAAATTGTGATAAATAAATATTATAATTTTTCTTTCATTTAGGCCATTGTATAATTGATGGACAGTGCTATAAGCAAGGCGAAAATCAGACTTCAAATGGCTGTAAACTTTGTGACCCAATTGGAAACAAGAACAACTGGACAATAACCACTGGTTAAGTATCGAAATTGTTTTTTTGGTTTAATTCAATTAATTCAACTAATTAACATTAATATAGGGATAACAGTTTCATATAATATGTCTAGGTTACTTTAAAATTATTCATTTTTCTGAAGGGAAAAATTATTGGAGAATATATTGGGTTATGGGGACTTAATTTCGTGGTTAAAAATTAGCAAATGTTACATGTATATATATGTGAAATTAATATTTCTTAGAGGACATATATTCATGAGTCTCTTTGTACCACGAAAACAACAAAAATGAAACCATAAGGAATATAAGTGATTTCATCGAAGATGATTTTATCCTTTTAAACATTTTACTCTATATTTTGTAAATTATATCGAACATCATGGATAATAGATGCACATATGTACTTCACAGGATATTGCTTCATAGACAACATGTGTATAAGTAATGGACAGAGAAACACGACCGATAGTTGCTTCTACTGCAATACATCTATAGAGCTGAATAATTGGTCCATTCACTCACGTACGTTTAACTCTGACAAAGGGTATAGCGTTCATGATAATGATTGTGACAAAAATTTATTGCCCATAACTTGAAAATGTATTTCATATGAAAATTTAAAAAGTAAATATATTGATTCTTTGAGTGTTTTTTTTTTCTTTAGATTATTGCCTGATTGACGGTTTCTGTATTAAAGAAGGTGAAAATCTTACATCTCACAATTGTAAAATTTGTGATCCAAGTGAGAACAAGACAGGTTGGACACTCTCACAAGGTATAGATATATCATTCTATGTTTGTATAATATACTTAGCAGCTTTTTACGTAGTTTGTATAAGGTTTATAAAGCTACATTGCAATTTTTTACGGTCATGTTTGGGTGAGGAAAGAAATGGTTGTGTTTCTTTTATATTACATGATCTGGAAATCGTTGATTGCAATGTTAAGAGTCTAAATCAATGTTAATCATATTGACTACATATGGTTACATGTGATTACATACACGGTAGGGGCATATCTACTCATGAAGAAATCCCATTCCCTATAGCCAGTTGTAGAAAAACGTTTGAAGAATTAGATTTGTCCTCTCTCACAATGACAATTCATCTTAGTTTTACATATATAAAAGATTACTTTTAACCTAATGACGATTAACCACATAAGGTATGTCGAAATATAAAGACACAAAACATTGATCATTTTCAATGGTCTATTTAAACAATGCCATAAAATGGCATGAGCATATAATGTAACCCTGTTTCGTCATTCTGTCATTCCATCATCATCACTTTCCATTTATTATTTAAGCAACAGTTGCACACATTCATCTCAAATTTGACACATGGATACGTCATAGGAATACGCAGGTAAATTTAAAATTTGGTTATGGTCCGATGATTAATTTGACAGAGTTATCCCTCTTGAACTTAGAAAAAAATAATAAATTTCATTTTCAGCTCTATACCTTTGTAGGGATGAACGTGTACTACTGAAATTGCATGTGCAGGTATTTTACCAGATAATACAGGTCAAGGTCGAATTTAGACATGGTTCGATGATTTTTGACAGAGTTATCCCTCTTGAACTTAGAAAAAATAAGAAATTTTCAGTTTCTGCTCTCTAACTTATGTAGGGATGTATGTATAAGGTTGAAATTGCATATGCAGGTATTTTACCTCAAATACAGGTCAAGTTCGAATACAAATTTAAAATTAATTTTAAAATTATGGCTGCCTGCGGGGACATTTGTGGCATTATGACGCATCTAGTTTCTGCATTGAGTTCAAATTTGACGTAGTGTTATTTTAATTCAATGTATTTATCAGTATATAATTTTCATTTTTCTAAGATTTTGTCATTGAATTATTGCTACTTTAACATGTTTTCTCGCAAAAAAAAAATGAGGTACCTTACCAGGCATTTGTGCAAGATACCAGAGGATAATGTTTCCTATAAAATTATGGCTGCCTGCGGGGGCATTTGTGGCATTACGACACATCTAGTTTCTGCATTGAGTTCAAATTTGACGTAGTGTTATTTTATTTCAATGTATTTATCAGTATATAATATTTTTTTCTAAGATTTTGTCATTGAATTGTTGCTACTTTAACATATTTACTCGCAAAAAAATGAGGTACCTTACCAGGCATTTGTGCAAGATACCAGAGGATGATGTTTCCTACAGAATCCTTTTTGGAAAAAAACTTAATTTGCCAATATCACATTTTTTAATGTTTAAATTTTTTAAAGACAATTACAAACCAGTTTAGAAATCCAAAGGTGATTAAAAATTTTGAATATTTTCCGTACAATACGAAGATATACAAAACAGATATTAGAGGAACGTATCGTCTGACCTTAAAACTTAAAACAAATATTCTTTACTCAGAAGGTCCATTTACTTGCATCAATTTTTATAAGTAGTCTCTACATCGTACATCTTAATAACTTTTAATCATTTAAAACAATATCGAACACAGATTACTGCCTCATTAGTGATGCTTGTGTCATCAATGGAGGAGCAAACACAACACACCCATGTGAAATCTGTAACATCTCGGTCAGCAACTACATGTGGACACAAGACACAGGTTTGATTTTTTTATATAGATTTACGAGGGTTGTCCCTAAACTCTGAGATAGACTGTCATAGACTGAACTATTTTTTTTTTTTACAGAAATTAAAGTATCTTTACAAGAAGTTTTTGGGTGAATAGGGTTGTACTGTTAGTCGTTAAATTACACCCGAAGCATTCTCATAAACGCTACTGGTTCGAATGAAAAGGAAAACAAATTGACTCATTTGATACTAGAATCTATTTCTTGAATTTATCATCAAGATGAGAAAAATAAAAAAATATTAATTACATTATCATGTATCCAAATATATCTCAAAACCTTTTTATAAGTTTGAGGATTTTTTTTCTGCCTTCCCAGAAGATGTTGGCGAGTTTTACTTTGCCAACGATTACGTTTTGAATTCTTTCGGTAGTTCTCTCTCTCTCAGTTTCTTCACATACTGAGACATTTTAATACTTAGGAGCAGGAATCATTACTTTATGTACAAACATTTTTGGCTTCTTTTTTCTTTGCTTTTTTGTAAAAGTTACTTCAATTTCAGAATATTTTTTTTAAAAAGTGCGCCGCCTTTTTTTCAGCAACTTAGGTGTTAAGACTGGTGCATTAAAATGATTATAATGATTTATATTGATTTATTATTATTAAAGCACCGAAGTGAACATTGGAGGATAGATAATGTACAAAATCATATAAGAAGTTTTTAGTTTCGAAATTTTGAGTATTTTTTTTCCCGAACAATTTAAATATTTTTTAATGTAGATTGCAAATGGTTGATGCACCGCCTTTCTACACAAGAAACTGTATTGTTCATGTAATTAGGGTTCACTCAGTATAATAACTGATCAGTATTTGTCAACAATTTTTACTAAATGGTTTAATCTATTGCATTTCATTAATTTGTGACACTGGGTTCCAACAAAACTACGCTTGTCTTGGAATTTTAGAACAACCCTGGTGTGTAGTATTTGATTTGTTTCACGTATGAAGTCATTCGATTTTTGTCTCCTCTCCATTCCATCAATAAAGTGGTGTCTAACTTTAAACCTTCTTTTCTACATGTACTTATACAATGACTTATACTGAGTAATGTTATTCTTTTCAAGATGCTGAATTAAATGTGATGTCAGATATAGTGTAAGTTCAATTTTGTTCAAATGATGACCCCCGGGGGTAGAGTGGGGCCCAGTGGGGGATCGAAAGTTTTACATAAGAACATATAGAAAAAATATGATTATAAATCAGATTGGGCTATCTTTAAACAAGAGGCCCATGGGCCACATCGCTCACCTGAGCACATTGGCTAGACAAAAGCACAAATCAGTTCAGTATTGAAAAGATTACTGGGGTCATCATTTTAACAAACTTGAATCTACAGTACCTGAGGATGTTTTCACATAAATATGACTCATCATGGCTTTGCTGTTCTTGAGAAGAAGATTTTTAAAGATTTTTCCTACGTATTTCTATGTAAAACTTTGATCTTCCATTGTGGCCCTGCCCTACCCCCGGGGGTCATGATTTGAAACAATCATGAATCTACACTACCTGAGGATGCTTCCATATAAATATGACTCATCATGGCTTTGCTGTTTTTGAGAAGAAGATTTTTAAAGATTTTTCCTACGTATTTCTACCTAAAACTGTTATCCTCCATTGTGGCCCCGCCCTACCCTCGGGAGTCATGATTTGAACAAACTTGAATCTACACTACCTGAGGATGCTTCCATATGAGTTTCATCTTTCCTGGCCCTGTGGTTCTTGAGAAGAAGATTTTTAAAAGATGCTATTAATTTTTCACTAATTCTTTATTATCTCCCTTTGAAAGAGGGGTGGCCCTTCATTTGAACAAACTTGAATCCCCTTTACCCAAGGATACTTTGTGGCAAGTTTGGTTGAAATTGGCCCAGTGGTTCTTGAGAAGAAGTCGAAAATGTTAACAGTTTGAAGACATACAGACAAACTCCGGACAAAAAGTGATCAGAAAAGCTCACTTGAGCCTTCGGCTCAGGTGAGCTAAAAACTCTTTGGTTGCTCTCTCCCAACTGACTGGCTTAAAATGGCCCGACACAAAACTTTTTAACCACCAGGAAGCATTTTTTTATGCATTTCGGAAAATAAATTCTGAAAATTCTGCATTGATGTTGAAATTTTATGGAGAAAAAAAATTTCTCACCTAACTACAGACCCAATCCTTAGTCGGGAGAGGGCAAACAAACATTATTTTATAGTTGACCTTGGTTATCTATTTTCTGTTAGGGTATTGTAACATTAATGGGTTGTGTGTCCGTGATGGAGAAAGAAATGTGCCCAACGAATGCTACTACTGTAACACGTCTAAGGGACGGAATGTTTGGTCATTCAATCCAGGTATTTTCTAAATGTGAACACTGTACATGTGTTTAGTTAATGTAAGAATTACAACTGATTGTAAGTCAGAGTTAAATTATTACAGCATAATTATTTCTTAAACTCATTCCGTCTCATGCATGGTCTCAAATATCATTCTTTCATGTGTTTTGGCTCAGATTACTGTTTTATCGATGGATCCTGTATCAAAGAGGGCGGAAATCACACAAAATTTGGTTGTAAAATATGTGACCCTGCAGTGGACACAAACAACTGGATCTTAACCCGAGGTAATTACTTTCAGTATTCCTCAGGGTTCCTTCCATGATACTCTCATAAATTTAAACAGATATTTTAAAAAAATATATTCAATATTGTATTTTGGTTAAAATAAACAAAGAATATGTGTCATTGCTTCAGAAATAGGTTATGTTTGTTTCCATGTCATAACCTTTAAAGCATATTGAGGTTTCCATGTCATTAACATGTTAAAGATTTCTTTGAATTCCTTGCTCTTTGCTTTTGTACCTATACAATAATTACTATTATATACAAATTTATATATCTCCATTGACTTTTACAAAGTTTTTGTCGAGATTTTCCTTCATATACTAAGTAAAATTCAGTGACTAGGGTGATTATTTTTTTAAGATTACTGCTTCATTGCTGATATGTGTATATTGAATGGCGATGAAAACATAACATATCCATGCGAATTCTGTAATGTCTCAAACAGCAAGTACTCTTGGTCACAAAACACAGGTGAGATTTTAACTTTTACGATGTTGTTATAATAAAACAGAATAAAAATGATATTAATTATGACTATAAATTTATGGATTGTAAGAATCCGTTTTAATGTTGACTTAATACAATACAAATATCAAATAAATTTGCTTTGAGTATCATAATGTAAATTATAAGGTCACCACAGTTTATTTATTTTTAAATGATGTTGCATAAATGTGTGTATTGATATTATCTTTAATAATGAGAAGTTTTTGTATATTCTATTAAATTTGACACTGAAGTGTGCTCTGAATTGTTTGTAAATCATTTCAGTATTGAGAGGTTATATACTGTAAAAAGAATTCTGAAACTTTATTTGGCTTTTTTTCCCTTTTACTGAAAAGACTATTGTAACATTGAGAACATGTGTATTGCTGATGGGCAGAAGAATGTGTCCAATGAATGTTTCTATTGCAATACATCTCAAAGACGAGAGAGTTGGTCATTAAGCGAAGGTAATAAGCGTTTTACATAGTTATTATACCTGAATTACAACAGAAAGCTTCACTAAGTTTCATCTTCTCTGGTCCACTGGTTCTTAGGAGACTTTTTCTATACATTCCCATTATAAATTTTGATCTCATATTGTAGCCCCACCCTTCCCTGGGTGACAATCATCTGTATTTTAGGAATATCTATACTACCCCAGAAAGGCCTTTAACAAGCTTTGTGCTAATTTGGTTAAAATTGACGAAGTTGTTCTTGAGAATGAGTCGAAAATGTGGAAATTTTATAGACAGATTGACAAAGAGTCAGACTAATTCCGGACAGTTAAGATCAAAGAAGCTTATTTGAGCTTTTGGCTTAGGTGAACTAAGAAAAAGCATATTTTTCTTTTTGTTTGTTTGCTTGTTTGTTTTTTGCATTTATCCTTCTCATTTACTTTTATTCCTTAAATGATGTGAAAAAAATAGCAGAAAACATCAGTATAATTGCACTACTGATGCAATGTTATACGCTACTTTAAAATCTACCTAAGTAAGAACCATTGACTGGAGAACATATTTTCTAATATATGTGTAAATTCTAAAAATCACGAGTCTTTTCTACCACTATCTTGCCAAAAAGTAATACATAATCTTTTATGCAAATAAAATATAATACACTTACGATTGAAAAGCCATAGAGATATTATGCAGTATGCCCATTATTCAGTTGCCAAAGGGGATTGTAGTCCCATCAGGATTGTTCTTATGAGTTTTGTTATGTGTAGAAAATTATCATTCAAAAGCTAAGGATCATTACCAGCCACTTTCCCTAATGCATTTCTTAACCGAACTTGTAATTAACACTTTGAAAATTTGTTCTGATAATTAAAAAAAACCATTTTGATATTCCAAATAAATAAATAAATAAAAAAAAACATTGTTTCACCTGTACTTTTATTCCATATAATAGCTTAATTGAACGTATATTTTTCTTCCATTTATAAATTAAGGATACTGTTTGATACACAACGTGTGTGTAATGGACGGAGAATCTAACAACACATATCCTTGTAACATCTGTAACACCTCAAAGAGTGTTCACACGTGGTCACGAAATCCTGGTAAGATACCATTATCTTATATCATAGAGCACGAAATGATTGTAGAATATAAACTGTTTATTTTTCTTTTTTATATCATATTCAGTTGCCATTAGTTTTTTTTTACATGGAGATAGGGAATTTGATTCTTTCATCTCAATCAAAGATCTCAATGTAAAGTAAAATGTAATATACAATATTATAATAGATTATTCTTTCGATACTTCAGTTTTCCCTCACAAATTATCAATTTAAAATAAAATACAATAATTGTAGTGTTCGGCATTTCTGATTATTACGCTTTGAACAGAAAAAATTGAAATAGTGACTGAATTGTATTGAATAATAAATACTGAATGAGTCAAATATTTAAACCAACGTTAACTCCCACTTTGTATTATAATAAATGGAATAATGAATCCTTGTGCAAAACTCGATAGTTTATTTTTTTTCAGGTTATTGTAATATAAATGACACGTGCATCCCCGATGGACAGAAAAATGCTTCCAATGAATGTTTTTACTGTAATACATCCCTTGGCTGGAATATTTGGTCATATAATAAAGGTACTGATATAAAGACGGAGAAAAGCACTTATGTCGAGCTGTAGACAAGGTACTGATATAGAGCTGTAGACAAGGTACTGATAAAGAGCTGTAGATAAGGTACTGATAAAGAGCTGTAGACAAAGTACTGATATAGAGCTGAAGACAAGGTACAGATATAGAGCTGTAGACAAGGTACTGATATAGAGCTGTAGACAAGGTACCCATATACAGCTGTAGACAAGGTACTGATATAGAGCTGTAGACAAGGTACCCATATAGAGCTGTAGACAAGGTACTGATAAAGAGCTGTAGACAAGGTACTGATATAGAGCTATAGACAAGGTACCGATAAAGAGCTATAGACAAGGTACTGATAAAGAGCTATAGACAAGGTACTAATATAGAGCTGTAGACAAGGTACTGATAAAGAGCTGTAGACAAGGTACCGATATAGAGCTGTAGACAAGGTACCGATTTAGAGCTGTAGACAAGGTACTGGTATAGATCTGTAGACAAGGTACTGATATAGAGCTGTAGACAAGGTACTGATAAAGACCTCTAGATAAGGTACCGATATAGAGCTGTAGAAAAAGTACTGATAAAGAGCTGTAGACAAGATACTGATAAAGAGCTGTAGACAAGGTACTGATATAGAGCTGTAGGCAAGGTACCGATATAGAGCAGTAGAAAAGGTACCGATATAGAGCTGTAGACAAGGTACCGATTTAGAGCTGTAGACAAGGTACTGATATAGAGCTGTAGACAAGGTACTGAAAAAGACCTTTAGATAAGGTACCGATATAGAGCTGTAGACAAAGTACTGATAAAGAGCTGTAAGCAAGGTACCGATATAGAGCTGTAGAAAAGGTACCGATATAGAGCTGTAGACAAAGCACTGTTATAGAGCTGTAGAGAGGGCACTGATATAGATCTGTAGACAGGGCACTTATATAGAGCTGTAGACAGATACCGAAATTAAACTTTGAACTGTAGACAGGGCAATGATATAGAGCTATAGTCAAGGCCTTGAGCGCTTTGAGACCATTGGCTAAATTATCATCCTTGGAAGAAATAAAGTTCCATGTTTACTATATTTTGTTAACTACTCCTTTATTAATTTAAATTGTCACTTTTCGATTAACTTGTCTATGTTGCACTTCTTTTAATTAGGAATCATGCTATTTTTCCCGTCATTTCTATTTTCTGATTGCATATATGTTACGCATTTTTCGATTTTCAAAAGACACCAATCCATCTTTATTTTTAAGATTATTATTTGATCAATGGACAATGTATAAAAGATGGCGAAAATCATACGACAATTGACTGTAAAATATGTGATCCTGTCGTAGACAAGTCCAACTGGTCCTTAGAAAAAGGTATAGTCTATATTTTGATTAGCAGACAATCGACAATTACGCTGCCGGCTTTTAACTTAATCTATTTGATTCAAATACTGTTTATTGAAGCAAATAATCCTTTCCAAAATGTTGAAAGTATACTGTACGTATATGTCATGAAAGAGGAATTAAATGATAATGTGTTTTCTCCTTGACAAACATTATTTGATATTGATAAATTGGAAAACGTATGAACATATTATATTTCAAAGATAACTTTTCAAATATGTAATTTACCTGTCCTTTTAGGCCATTGCTTCATTGATGGTATTTGTGTTCAAAACGGAGAAGCAGAGAAAGATTATCCCTGTAAATCGTGCAATTCTAGTACTAACATTACTCACTGGCAGTATAATAATGGTGAGTTGTTTAAAATGTTCTTGAATTTAAGTTTCTTTTTTATTCTTTGTGTGTAAAACTCAACTCAATTATATTGTTATATTGACTTGATGCTTCATTATAAAACTTTTAAAATTGCCGTTTGCTAAAGGATATTGCATCATAGCTGATAAGTGCATTTCAAATGGAGAGAAAAACATTTCTAATCCATGTGATGTTTGTGACATCTCTATCAACAAACATTCCTGGTCACAAAATCCAGGTTAGTAAAGTATTTTGAGAATTTCCTTGATTGTTCTTAACGAATCTTAGCGCTACTTGTTTAAAATGTGCTCGTCAACAGATGATTAAAAAATAAAATTTTCCATTCATATCACATATATATATGGCAAATAGCTGATAGTTAAATATTTTAATTTAAAAACCATGAAAAGTGCACCTACAGTCCTATGTCAATATCAGCTATCTGTAAAGTTGCCCGCATTGATTATTTTATACACAATTCATGTTCTAGATTTTTGCAAAATTGGTGAGTTGTGTGTTACCAATGGAGAAAGAAATGCAACTAATGAATGTTTTTACTGCAACACTACTCTTGGACGTAATACGTGGTCATTTCTTGAAGGTATGATCTACTGAGTGTAAAGTGAAAATCTTATGTTTAAATACTTTATAGGTTTTCAATCATACCGTATAACGGGTATTTTCTGCGGTTGTCCAATTTTTGCGGATAGGGCAAATCCGCAAAAATTACAATCGCAAAATATTTTTTAATATTTCTTCAGATATATATTTTATACATGCAAGTATGATAAGTGGTGCATATGTCCTCGTTAGCGAGAAAATTCGGGTGTCATCGAAATTCGAAAGATTTTAGATATCAGGATTTTTCCAAGACATATTGAATTAAAACGATGCTGTAAATAATATCAATTTAATAATTTTATACAAAAACATCTTTTCTTGTACCTACTTCTTTATTTTGTACGGATATACATGTACATGTAAATGACTAGAAGAGATTTCGCAATTAATAGTCCAAACTCCGATAGCTGCAAACAACACATAGTAGCTTTTCTTTCTTTCTTAAACACTTTTTTCTCTGGAGACCATAATTACTGCTTGTATACACAAAGTGGCTTGATTGTCTCGTGAATTTCACACAATGCAGAGGACTGACAGGATTAGTTACGCCTCAATGCACATGGCACCTGTGATTGTATACGGTCAACTTTAGGTTACTTGATTATGCAACTGTTTGTTTGAGCTTAAAATATAAACACCAGATTAATTTTGATGGCAATTAACTATAAGTGTATTTTTTTAGAATATGGCTTGGATGCATTAATTATCTATATATTAAAATATTTTAATAGATCGCATAAAACGTTTGTTACAATGTAGAATAAAGATTTTTTATTGTTGTTTGGGTGGACCGATACTGCAATAATTCATTTCAATTGGGACTCAACATAATTTTACAAAGACTAACTGAAAGATGCGTAGTAGTTTAGTTAAGCTTAATAGCTTAATACCAGTTCTCATGCAACTTTGATCAATACGTCTCAATGAATTTATAAAACGTAAACATGGTAGCTATCTGATAATTCTTGGAGATTGGTGATCATACCCAGTAAATAATTTTTTGCGGTATAATGCAACCGCAGAAATTGAAAACGCAGAAATTAATTTTCTCTCTTTTAGGGGTTAAATCGCAAAAATTTCCAACCGCAGAAAATACCCGTTATACGGTATTATATTTCTGTTTCTTAGAATGATTATGAACCGTCACGGTAACTCAGTCATTAGAGGGCTCGCTCCGTGATCGGAATGTCGTGTGCACTTATGTAGATCTGTAGACAAGGTACTGATATAGATCTGTAGACAGGGCACTTATATAGAGCTGTAAACAGATACTGAAATTAAACTTTGAACTGTAGACAGGGCACTGGTATAGACCTATAGTCAAGGCCTTGAGCGCTTTGAGACCATTGGCTAAATTATCATCCTTGGAAGAAATAAAGTTCCATGTTTACTATATTTTGTTAACTATTCCTTTATTAATTTAAATTGTCACTTTTCGATTAACTTGTCTATGTTGCACTTCTTTTAATTTCTATTTTCTGATTGCATATATGTTACGCATTTTTCGATTTTCAAAAGACACCAATCCATCTTTATTTTTAAGATTATTGTTTGATCAATGGACAATGTATAAAAGATGGCGAAAACCATACGACAATTGACTGTAAAATATGTGATTCTGTCGTAGACAAGTCCAACTGGTCCTTAGAAAAAGGTATAGTCTATAATTTGATTAGCAGACAATCGACAATTACGCTGCCGGCTTTTAACTTAATCTATTTGATTCAAATACTGTTTATTGAAGCAAATAATCCTTTCCAAAATGTTGAAAGTATACTGTACGTATATGTCATGAAAGAGGAATTAAATGATAATGTGTTTTCTCCTTGACAAACATTATTTGATATTGATAAATTGGAAAACGTATGAACATATTATATTTCAAAGATAACTTTTCAAATATGTAATTTACCTGTCCTTTTAGGCCATTGCTTCATTGATGGTATTTGTGTTCAAAACGGAGAAACAGAGAAAGATTATCCCTGTAAATCGTGCAATTCTAGTACTAACATTACTCACTGGCAGTATAATAATGGTGAGTTGTTTAAATTTAAGTTTCTTTTTTATTCTTTGTGTGTAAAACTCAACTCAATTATATTGTTATATTGACTTGATGCTTCATTATAAAACTTTTAAAATTGCCGTTTGCTAAAGGATATTGCATCATAGCTGATAAGTGCATTTCAAATGGAGAGAAAAACATTTCTAACCCATGTGATGTTTGTGACATCTCTATCAACAAACATTCCTGGTCACAAAATCCAGGTTAGTAAAGTATTTTGAGAATTTCCTTGATTGTTCTTAACGAATCTTAGCGCTACTTGTTTAAAATGTGCTCGTCAACAGATGATTAAAAAATAAAATTTTCCATTCATATCACATATATATATGGCAAATAGCTGATAGTTAAATATTTTAATTTAAAAACCATGAAAAGTGCACCTACAGTCCTATGTCAATATCAGCTATCTGTAAAGTTGCCCGCATTGATTATTTTATACACAATTCATGATCTGCTTTATTGTCCTAGATTTTTGCAAAATTGGTGAGTTGTGTGTTGCCAATGGAGAAAGAAATGCAACTAATGAATGTTTTTACTGCAACACTACTCTTGGACGTAATACGTGGTCATTTCTTGAAGGTATGATCTACTGAGTGTAAAGTGAAAACCTTATGTTTAAATACTTTATAGGTTTTTAATCATATTATATTTCTGTTTCTTACACTGATTATGAACCGTCACGGTAACTCAGTCATTAGAGGGCTCGCTCCGTGATCGGAATGTCGTGTGCACTTATGTAGATCTGTAGACAAGGTACTGATATAGATCTGTAGACAGGGCACTTATATAGAGCTGTAAACAGATACTGAAATTAAACTTTGAACTGTAGACAGGGCACTGGTATAGACCTATAGTCAAGGCCTTGAGCGCTTTGAGATCATTGGCTAAATTATCATCCTTGGAAGAAATAAAGTTCCATGTTTACTATATTTTGTTAACTATTCCTTTATTAATTTAAATTGTCACTTTTCGATTAACTTGTCTATGTTGCACTTCTTTTAATTAGGAATCATGCTATTTTTCCCGTCATTTCTATTTTCTGATTGCATATATGTTACGCATTTTTCGATTTTCAAAAGACACCAATCCATCTTTATTTTTAAGATTATTGTTTGATCAATGGACAATGTATAAAAGATGGCGAAAATCATACGACAATTGACTGTAAAATATGTGATCCTGTCGTAGACAAGTCCAACTGGTCCTTAGAAAAAGGTATAGTCTATATTTTGATTAGCAGACAATCGACAATTACGCTGCCGGCTTTAAACTTAATCTATTTGATTCAAATACTGTTTATTGAAGCAAATAATCCTTTCCAAAGTGTTGAAAGTATACTGTACGTATATATCATGAAAGAGGAATTAAATGATAATGTGTTTTCTCCTTGAAAAACATTATTTGATATTGATAAATTGGAAAACGTATGAACATATTATATTTCAAAGATAACTTTTCAAATATGTAATTTACCTGTCCTTTTAGGCCATTGCTTCATTGATGGTATTTGTGTTCAAAACGGAGAAACAGAGAAGGAATAAAGATCCATGTTTACTATATTTTGTTAACTATTCCTTTATTAATTCAAATTGTCACTTTTCGATTAACTTGTCTATGTTGCACTTCTTTTAATTAGGAATCATGCTATTTTTCCCGTCATTTCTATTTTCTGATTGCATATATGTTACGCATTTTTCGATTTTCAAAAGACACCAATCCATCTTTATTTTTAAGATTATTGTTTGATCAATGGACAATGTATAAAAGATGGCAAAAACCATACGACAATTGACTGTAAAATATGTGATCCTGTCGTAGACAAGTCCAACTGGTCCTTAGAAAAAGGTATAGTCTATATTTTGATTAGCACACAATCGACAATTACGCTGCCGGCTTTAAACTTAATCTATTTGATTCAAATACTGTTTATTGAAGCAAATAATCCTTTCCAAAATGTTGAAAGTATACTGTACGTATATGTCATGAAAGAGGAATTAAATGATAATGTGTTTTCTCCTTGAAAAACATTATTTGATATTGATAAATTGGAAAACGTATGAACATATTATATTTCAAAGATAACTTTTCAAATATGTAATTTACCTGTCCTTTTAGGCCATTGCTTCATTGATGGTATTTGTGTTCAAGACGGAGAAACAGAGAAAGATTATCCCTGTAAATCGTGCAATTCTAGTACTAACATTACTCACTGGCAGTATAATGATGGTGAGTTGTTTAAAATGTTCTTGAATTTAAGTTTCTTTTTTATTCTTTGTGTGTAAAACTCAACTCAATTATATTGTTATATTGACTTGATGCTTCATTATAAAACTTTTAAAATTGCCGATTGCTAAAGGATATTGCATCATAGCTGATAAGTGCATTTCAAATGGAGAGAAAAACATTTCTAACCCATGTGATGTTTGTGACATCTCTATCAACAAACATTCCTGGTCACAAAATCCAGGTTAGTAAAGTATTTTGAGAATTTCCTTGATTGTTCTTAACGAATCTTAGCGCTACTTGTTTAAAATGTGCTCGTCATCAGATGATTAAAAAATAAAATTTTCCATTCATATCACATATATATATGGCAAATAGCTGATAGTTAAATATTTTAATTTAAAAAACATGAAAAGTGCACCTACAGTCCTATGTCAATATCAGCTATCTGTAAAGTTGCCCGCATTGATTATTTTATACACAATTCATGTTCTGCTCTATTGTCCTAGATTTTTGCAAAATCGGTGAGTTGTGTGTTGCCAATGGAGAAAGAAATGCAACTAATGAATGTTTTTACTGCAACACTACTCTTGGACGTATTACGTGGTCATTTCTTGAAGGTATGATCTACTGAGTGTAAAGTGAAAACCTTATGTTTAAATACTTTATAGGTTTTTAATCATATTATATTTCTGTTTCTTACACTGATTATGAACCGTCACGGTAACTCAGTCATTAGAGGGCTCGCTCCGTGATCGGAATGTCGTGTGCACTTATGTAGATCTGTAGACAAGGTACTGATATAGATCTGTAGACAGGGCACTTATATAGAGCTGTAAACAGATACTGAAATTAAACTTTGAACTGTAGACAGGGCACTGGTATGGACCTATAGTCAAGGCCTTGAGCGCTTTGAGACCATTGGCTAAATTATCATCCTTGGAAGAAATAAAGTTCCATGTTTACTATATTTTGTTAACTATTCCTTTATTAATTTAAATTGTCACTTTTCGATTAACTTGTCTATGTTGCACTTCTTTTAATTAGGAATCATGCTATTTTTCCCGTCATTTCTATTTTCTGATTGCATATATGTTACGCATTTTTCGATTTTCAAAAGACACCAATCCATCTTTATTTTTAAGATTATTGTTTGATCAATGGACAATGTATAAAAGATGGCAAAAACCATACGACAATTGACTGTAAAATATGTGATCCTGTCGTAGACAAGTCCAACTGGTCCTTAGAAAAAGGTATAGTCTATATTTTGATTAGCACACAATCGACAATTACGCTGCCGGCTTTAAACTTAATCTATTTGATTCAAATACTGTTTATTGAAGCAAATAATCCTTTCCAAAATGTTGAAAGTATACTGTACGTATATGTCATGAAAGAGGAATTAAATGATAATGTGTTTTCTCCTTGACAAACATTATTTGATATTGATAAATTGGAAAACGTATGAACATATTATATTTCAAAGATAACTTTTCAAATATGTAATTTACCTGTCCTTTTAGGCCATTGCTTCATTGATGGTATTTGTGTTCAAGACGGAGAAACAGAGAAAGATTATCCCTGTAAATCGTGCAATTCTAGTACTAACATTACTCACTGGCAGTATAATGATGGTGAGTTGTTTAAAATGTTCTTGAATTTAAGTTTCTTTTTTATTCTTTGTGTGTAAAACTCAACTCAATTATATTGTTATATTGACTTGATGCTTCATTATAAAACTTTTAAAATTGCCGTTTGCTAAAGGATATTGCATCATAGCTGATAAGTGCATTTCAAATGGAGAGAAAAACATTTCTAACCCATGTGATGTTTGTGACATCTCTATCAACAAACATTCCTGGTCACAAAATCCAGGTTAGTAAAGTATTTTGAGAATTTCCTTGATTGTTCTTAACGAATCTTAGCGCTACTTGTTTAAAATGTGCTCGTCAACAGATGATTAAAAAATAAAATTTTCCATTCATATCACATATATATATGGCAAATAGCTGATAGTTAAATATTTTAATTTAAAAAACATGAAAAGTGCACCTACAGTCCTATGTCAATATCAGCTATCTGTAAAGTTGCCCGCATTGATTATTTTATACACAATTCATGTTCTGCTCTATTGTCCTAGATTTTTGCAAAATTGGTGAGTTGTGTGTTGCCAATGGAGAAAGAAATGCAACTAATGAATGTTTTTACTGCAACACTACTCTTGGACGTAATACGTGGTCATTTCTTGAAGGTATGATCTACTGAGTGTAAAGTGAAAACCTTATGTTTAAATACTTCATAGGTTTTTAATCATATTATATTTCTGTTTCTTACACTGATTATGAACCGTCACGGTAGCTCAGTCGGTAGAGCGCTCGCTCCCCGATCGGAATGTCGTGTGTTCGAATCACTACCGCCACAGACCTAAGTCGATAAAAATAGGTAGCAACTGTTCCTTCGCCAAGCGCTTGGCACTTTGGAGTGAAAGTTGCGGGTCTTTCGGAAGAGACCCCTAAAAACCGAGGCCCAATGTCACGTGTCCAGCAGGACTATAGTTGTAGATGGAAGAAGAACAAATTACACAATGGAGGATTATGTTTCAGATCTCAATATCCAGGCTCTGTAAAGTTTTCTTGTAGTTAGAAAGTTTGGAAGCAATAGCAGATATATTTTTGTAGGAAATACAAGGGGTTGTCTTGATTTTGAAATATGGTGGAATACAAGATTGGACCCTTTTGTGATTGAGAACATTACCTATATGAACCGCGTATTGAAGTTTAAGGATTAAAAAGGCCTATGATTTCCAATACCCATCACCCCAGATCCGGGCCTGTATTCTGGTGTCGAGGAATACAAAGTTGGACTTTCCTTGACTTTTCAAGTACACTATTCAAAAGTCTCAAAGGGACAGAGTAAAGTTTAGATGAATGGGATGAAGTTCTAACTGTTGATTTACGTAATGTAGTAATGAATCAAAAGATACATCGTGTATTAAAGGCTTATTGTAAGACCGATGCCCATGACTACGCTTACGTCTCTGAGTGTGGTTGAAAAGTCCCACATTTACATTGTTACATTGTGAACTGGAGAGATTCCCAAACAATACATCAAACACCTACATCGAAATTAAATGAACATGGACCTGAATATGCGTGCTGTAAATCATATGCCATTCTGTGTGTGCATTCCATTTATTTATTTTTTTTTTATGTAAAGATTTTATGTCTATGTTCCGTATCATTTATACCCTCTCCAATATTTTAGGTTACTGTAACATTGATGACAAGTGCTTAAAAGAAGGAGAAAACCACACCCTTTATAGCTGCAAAATTTGTGATACTACTCAGGACAAAAGCAGCTGGACAATAGCAGCAGGTATTCTGCACAATTGGTTTCGTCTTCAGTTTCAAATTTTAACAAAGAAGCTCTTCTTTCACAATTATACGGTTGGAGAAATTACTGATTTTTGGCAACATAAATATTAACTACCAAGTTTAGATTTGCATGCAGCATTATGAATTTTCGAAATGGCCCTATTGCAATGGAAACATGGGAGATAAGATAAATAATAAATGAAATTTTTCTCAGTACATTACAGCTAATTCTCTCTCATCAAATCAAAGAGGTAGGTTCACTAATTCCATAAAATGGCCTTGACCATATACCAATTAACTGACCAAATCCCAATGTCCCATTGAGAACATTTATATAAAGTAAAGACTTAGTGCTTTCATTTCCAATAAAAAAAAATTTCCCACTACAGTGCAAGTATTGAAGAACAGACTTTGTGAAACTGCAATATTCTTGAATTTTGAAGGAAATCAGTGAATTTGAGCATCTTCAACTAATAATTAAAATATGAGCCCACCCTGTGATCCAAAAACCTTTTCATGGATTAGAATCTTCTGAAACAGTTCTTTCATTATATAATTTAACATTTTAGGTCTGAGGCTGGGGCTATGTAAAATATTCGAAACAGCTTACATTTTTAGCCATTTTTAGAAAAAATTTCAAGATTTGAGGAAAATGACGCAATTCATGACGTCATAATACATGGACAAGATAGAAAATTACGTTATTTTTCATTGATATGCAGTCACCAAGGGTTCAAGTGAAATTTAACATATTTTCAACTAAGAATGAGCAGTTCTGATCTTTCAGAAATTCACAGGCCCCAAAAAAGACCCTAAGTTAACCTTGTTCTTTATTTCCGCCAAAAAAAAAATTGGAATCGGTTAGGCAGACTTCTCCACCTTTGCCACAGAAATTGAAGGGGTTTTTCTTTTTTATTTATTTTGTCCTCTAAAGGTATTTCAAACTGCATAGTAAAGATACGTAAGTGTCTCCAAAAGTCTCCTTTAAAAATCACCAAAATGACTGTATTGCTGTGGAATCAAAAATACTTTACTTGAAATTTAAGGGAAAAGTATGCTGCTTTAAATTAAATCATAACCTCTCTTTTATTAGAAAAAGCCCAATATTAGATGAACTTCTGTATCTTTTGTAGGATTTTTTAAAGTTATATAATGAGTCAAATCATGTGTTTCTTTTAAGATAATTGTATCACAAAACAAAAGATTTATGTGAAATACGAATATAGCAAAGTTTTGAAATCTCAACTGCACTGTAAAAAAGAAAAGAACTGCAAAAAGTGCCGGATAAACAAGTGTTGTATCTATCGGGTATTTTTTATCGTCAATGTCAACAATGTCAAGGTCATGCGTCCTTTATTTTTAGCGTGGAACTTGTAAACAACATTAAATTGGAGCAATCAAAATTGAGGAATAAGTTCTGATCATCTTTTTTGAAGATTGTATCAAAATTCTCGGTCATCCGACATTTATATCTATGGAATTGACACCATGGTAAATTCTTCAACTTTTCAGCGCATGCGTACAATAAAGAGGAAATACTGAAGCAATATTTTTGTGTTGGTTATACAAAGATTTTTTACTTTTATTTTTCTCCATAAAAGTAGATTTTTTAGGTTCTGAAACCTGTAATTTTCTGAAACCTAATAACTTCAAGAACTGAACAAAATTTGCGTGTGTCATGCAAAAATTCTACTTTTGTCAATTTTCCCGTTTTTCCGTCACGGTGTCACTTTAAATTTAAATTCAATATATTAATGGTTTGGTTACTTTTTTTTCCCAGATTACTGCCTTATCAATAATATGTGTGTTCATGATGGAGAATCGAACAAAACTTACCCATGTGAGGTCTGCAACATCTCACAGAGTAGATACACGTGGTCACCTAACAATGGTGAGAAATAAAATGTTATACTTTTGTATACGGTTTGGTTAATTCAGAGCAAATCGACTTTATTGTATCACAACTTCTCTATGTTTTCTGAAAAAAAGAACATGTATACTTTAAAATTCGTTAGAATAATTTCTGTATAAAAATTGTATTTATATTGAAAAAGGTTTAGCAAAAGAAAGTTATTCGTCAATTTTTGAGAATCTTTCAGTTGACAAATCACTTATGTTCAGTTTTCATTATTTGTTGTATTCATAGAATACTGCGAGGTAGATAACATGCGTATTCCCAATGGACAGAAGAATTCATCAAGTGAATGTTTCTATTGTAACACATCCTTAGATCGAAGTGCATGGTCGCTTATTCAAGGTATAAATTTACTAACAGATAGTTTTATATTGAAATTTGAAACAATATGTACATGTAGCAGGTTACTCATCAATTTAGGTTAAAGAATTTTTTTCTAAGTTTTTAGAAGCTTTTTTATGCTTTGCTTTCCACTGTACGTCACAAATAACTGTAATCTGTAATTCCAATATTCTGTAATATTTCTCAATATATTAATATGGAAAGTGGTAAATAGTATGTTAAGCAAGCATAAAATATCGTTCCAAAGGGAAATGGTAATATTTTTTGATACAAAAAGGAGGCTACTGTTGCTTATTTATAGTAAATTTTACTTTATACAAATTTAATTACTCTTTCATGTTATATACTTTGATTACAGAAACGGATAGATAATTGTTTACAACATTTAACGCAATGTTGCTCTAAATAAAATGTTAAAATACTGCCAGGATTTGAAACAAAATCTAACGGTTATTGTTAGAGTTCTGTTGAAAAAATGCCCTATTCCACTCAATTTAGATTGCCCCCTAACAACTAAGGTACAAACGACAAGCACAGCTGAACCAACAACAACAGTACAAACAACAAGTACAACTAAACCCACAACAACAGTACAAACAACAAGTACAACTGAACCCACAACAACGTTACAAGCAACAAGTTTAACTGAACCCATAACAACCATACAAACAACAAGTACTACTAAACCCACAACAACCACACAAACAACAAGTACTACTGAGCCCACAACAACCATACAAACAACAGGTACAACTGAATCCACAACAACAGTACGATCAACAAGTACAGCTGAACCCACAACAACAGCACAAACAACAAGTACAACTGAACCCACAACAACAGTACAAACAAGTACAACTAAACCCACAACAACAGTACAAACAACAAGTACAACTGAACCCACAACAACAGTTCAAACAACAAGTAAAGCTGAACCCACAACAACAGTTCAAACAACAAGTACAACTGAACCTTCAACAACAAGTACAACTAAGGGAACTTCAACGACAACAACTTACGACAGAATGACCACATCATCTTGTAAAAAGACAATGTTTTTTTGTTTTTTTAACTTTTTTTTATTTCATTGTTTATACATGTAACAGTATCCTTATTGTTTATTTGATAATTTTTAGGTGTTGAAATGAACACTGAAAATATTACCGTAACCTATTATAACGTCTCTTGGAACACATCAATCAAAATAGAAGGAGCAACAAAGCGGACCATACACAATCCTTCTGTCAATTTAAAATGTAATTTTGCCTCCTTCTCTAACAATCTGTTCTACAAAGTGGAGTGGTATGTTGACAAACACATACTCGTCAAATCAGAAGTGCTAGGAGGATCGTCTGACAAAAATGCTATATTATCGTTATATGATTTGATTTCCATGAACAAGAGGTCTGGAATTCAGGTAACATTTATTTTCTTGAGTCCTATTCTTAAAATAAATCCTTAAAAGTTGTTTTTTCAAGTTTGAAATCTGCAATCGAAGTTACTTTTAAATAATTAAATGATACAGTATACTTGTGTGATTTCTAAATTTTCTTTACTCCCTCATCCATCATTTAGGTACTATGCAAGGTTGGTGCCACGAAAGATAAGCTTATGGCACCTTGCGAAATGTTTGAAAGTCATCCATTCTTAGCGGGGATAATGGTAATTTTTTAATTCACTTGCGCAGACTTTTCCATGCAAATCAATGATGCGCTTATTATAAAAAAAAAATCAATATTTAGCTTATTAAAGGTCATTTAATAATTTTTCAACGATAATCAAGATCACAATATATTCACACATTGTATCAAATTGTTTATTAAAAAAGAAAGTGAATCATACGAACATTCCAATAACAATGACCAAGAGCTTTTTGTATATAAACTTATTGTATCAATATTTACTAACCTTTGGCTCATTGCGAAATGGCACGAGGGTGCTTATCAGTGCATAAAATTGCGCATATACCGTTATAAACCCTGTCCATGACCGTAAGTAGAGTTTGTCCTCAAACTTACGTTGATTTAAAGTCATTTTATTATTTACAGATGAATGACACTAAACTCAGTCTTCCAAGAAAAGGCAAAGCTCAGATTGGATTTTACTTAACTGTTCCATTCGTTACACAAACAGTCATCTTAAATGATACTGTACAGGCACTCCGCCCCCTGACGGTTCACAGTAATATTATCCCTATGTCAGAGAACGGTTGTAAAGGATCTATAGGAGTGAATCAATGTTCTGTAGAAATCAGTGCGTATTCCTATGATGAAAAGAACAGGTATGAATCAGATGAATGGAGAAAAGTGCACTACATCACGGTGTATCACATTGACACAGATGGTTATAGCATCGACGCAACAGCCACTCTTTATTTGAGGACAAGTGAAAATGAAGATGGATTTTTCCATAATGTTTCTTTAGACAATACATTGGTAAGCCCTCGTACATGAAAAGTTTCGTTAAATATCGAGAGGACAAGAATCAATGGGAGTGATTAAGTGTTTAAATAATTTGTTATGCGACAAATTATTTTATTTGTTTATTACAGATTGAAATTTTTGAAGTGCATGATACTTGGAAAGGAAAATCCTGTGGGTCAAAAACTGATCCCCATTTGTACACATTTGATGGAGTGTAAGACATTTTCAAAACGTATTCTAAATTTATCTTTACAAATATAAATTATCATGTGATTAAAATCTTTAATATTTTTAATTTTTTCTTCCGAAAATATCTTCCTACATAAATATAATTCAACAAGAAACATCATTGTTCCATTTTGTATATCCGAGTTGGTCATTTATAGATAAGATTAATGTCAATTTAAGAAAATTAACATCATATTTCAGGGCATTCGAAAGCCACATTGAAGGAGAATTCATTTTGTATCGTAATTCGTTATTCAATCAAGAGGTAAGAGTAATAGAGTGAACATATGTACATGTAATTGTCTGTTACTGTGTTTTCAATAGGTATATTTTTTCATTGAATTTGTTGAATGGTAAATAAGTTCTGCCCACTTCAAGACTGATTTTGAAGCACCTCTATACATATTCTTTTCTTTCTACAAGATTCAAACTCGTCACGAGAAATGCCACACGAACTACCCTTTCCCGCAATGTACGTGTGCTGTTTCTGTGCAGTCAGGAAGTGACGTGTTTATGATTGACATTTGTGGAAACAACAATTTTATGGATTTTCTTAGATGTCAAGATAACGTCATTGAAGTATATAAAATCACAGACAAACTCTATAAGGTTTGCTATCAATTAAAAATAATAATTATTATTTCTCGCCAGTTTGACATTTGTTAGGTCACCTGAGTCACTCAGGTGACCTATTGCTATCTCTTTTCGTCCGTCGTCGTGCGTCGTCCGTCGGTCGTAAACTTTTGAACATTTTCAGCTTCTTCTCTGGAACCAGTGAACCAATTTCAACCAATTTTGGCATATAGCATCTATGGGTGAAGGGGAACAAAAATTGTGAAATTCGTGGCCCCTGCCCCCCTGGGGCCTGAGGGGTGGGGCCAAAACCATCAAAACTAATGCAATCTTTAAAAATCTTCTTCTTTACTCCTGGACATCAAGCAGTCAAACTGTTGGCATCATTGTAATAAGCATTGAGCCCTCTACCAAAATTGTGAAATTCATGGCCCCAGGGTCAGGGGTTCTGGTGCTAGGGCGGGGCTATATAGATCATATAGTGAAAGTGCATTATTTCTTTGAAAATCTTCTTCTATACTCCTGGGTATTATTGAAACAAATTGAATACATAGTTATGATGAGGAAGGGTGACTCTACCAAAATTGTGAAATTCATGGCCCCAGGGTCAGGGGTTCTGGTGTTAGGGCGGGGCTATATAGAACATATAGTGAAAGTGCATTATTTCTTTGAAAATCTTCTTCTCTACTCCTGGGTATTATTGAAACAAATTGAATACATAGTTATGATAAGCAAGAGTGACTCTACCAAAATTGTGAAATTCATGGCCCCAGGGTCATGGGTTCTGGTGTTAGGATGGGGCTATATAGATCATATAGTGAAAGTGCATTATTTCTTTGAAAATCTTCTTCTCTACTCCTGGGTATTATTGAAAAAAATTGAATACATAGTTATGATGAGCAAGAGTGACTCTACCAAAATTGTGAAATTCATGGCCCCTGGGTCAGGGGTTCTGGTGCTAGGGCGGGGCTCTTTTGATTATATAATGAAAATGCATTAATTCTTTGAAAATCTTCTTCTCTACTCCTGGGTATTATTGAAACAAATTGAATACATAGTTATGATAAGCAAGAGTAACTCTACCAAAATTGTGAAATTCATAGCCCCAGGGTCAGGGGATCTTTTGCTAGGGGGGGGACTATATAGATCATATAGTAAAAGTGCATTATTTCTTTGAAAATCTTCTTCTCTACTCCTTGGTATTATTGAAACAAATCGAATACATAGTTATGATGAGCAAGAGTGACTCTACCAAAATTGTGAAATTCATGGCCCCTGGGTCAGGGGTTCTGGTGCTAGGGTGGGGCTATATAGATCATATAGTGAAAGTGCATTATTTCTTTGAAAAGCTTCTTCTCTTCTCCTGGGTATTATTTAAACAAATACATGGTTATGATAAGCAAGGATGCCTTTTCCAAATTTGTGAATTTCATGACCCCTGGATCAGAGGTTCTGATGTTAGGGCGGGACTCTATTTATTGTATAGTGAAAATGCATTAATGCTTTAAAAATCTTCTCTGCACCTGGGCATATCAGAGGCAAAAAGGGTAAAAGTTTTAATAAGGAGAGTATTTTTACCAGATTTTTGAACATCAAGACCATTTGGTCAAGTGTTCTAGTCCAGACCAGGGCTCTATTAATTTGTATTCTACTGAGAGGAGTTATTCCCCTTTGCCATTTACTTGTGATAATTAATCACTGTAAATAATGTACTTGAAAGGTTAATAGAATAAGAGAATTATGCAAGAATTTTTATTGTATAATACAAAAAGTACTTTCATAGTTTTAATGATCAGGTAGACTTTTCTTATTAAGGTTTGTCATCCCTAATAGGAACTAATTCTCTATCCTTAAATATCAATCACGTATATAATACTCTGATATTAATTCAAAGAACTTTACAGTAGAAAAGGATTTACCAAGTGAAAGTTTCAAAAATGTAATTAACTAAGCAGTATTTAATTAATAGAAATTGCATTGAAGTCTATGGAGACAAGCGATTTTTTTAAAATAAAAATTCAGATAATAAGAATATCAATAACTACTGTGGTGGAAAGATCCATTAAATTATTAGAAATAGAATGACAATTGAAAATTTTTTTACCGTATATTTTTTTGAAATTGATTTTTATTACTTAAAAAAAGAGGGAGATAACTCTTCAACAAAGGTCAAGTCATAAATTAGGACACTTCCATGTTACATGCTAATAGTAATAAATATAGATTATGTCTAAATATACTGAGTATTCCACCCATACACATCTGTTATGTATTCAAATTCATTGAATCTGAGGCTATTAGGGATGGAATACCAGTACCTTAAATGTTCATCAAAGACCAAGAGTCTTACTCAGGCCAATGTAAGAGATTTCCACAAGGAATTAAAAGAGTACAGTAGCACTGATAGTTTCTTAATATACTGTCTGGTGAGAGTGATAAATGGGGAACAGATAAGAACCTAATTTATGAACTGTTAATGAATACTAGACTAATTATTTTGTTAATCCTGATCACCCTATTTTTCTTGCTTTTGGGCAACAAAGCTTCACCTTTCAGTTCATTTTATACTCTATGGATCCTCTAAATTGTTGTATTATACTCAGGTGACCGTTAAGGCCCTTGGGCCTCTTGTTTAATGAGCGATAGTTCAAATTGTAATGCAAGTATAAAAAAAAATGGAGTCTCTAATATTAGTTAATTTTAATGTAATAATTATTAAAGACAATAACTCTTAATTTGTAGATAATTAAATTCATTCTTTAAAAGAAAAAAATATTCACTTGCAGGTTCTTCTTCCGACTGGCACCACTGTGGTTGTATCTTTAGTTGAGTGGCCTGTTGAAGGATCCTGGCAGATAGATATAGATATCTACCCATCACTTGCTGACGTAAACAACACCGCAGGTCTCTGTGGAACATTAGATGGCGATAGAAGAAACGAGTTTATCCATCAGAATGGAAGCAGCGATAGCTCGGTGTTGGAATATCCTGATGATTTTTCTAGATCTTGGATGTAATGTTTTTTTCCAAGCATATATCTCATATTATGGAAATACATACCTTGGTATTTTACTAGCAACAAGGCATATAATGTAGTTTATTCAAATAATGCTGTTTGACACAAATAAATGAAATTCATCTGACTAGAATTTTGTCAAAAGCAGAATAATTTCAAAAATGTAAATAATTTGCTTTTACACACTCAATTTTTTACAGGGTCAAGAGCGATGAAAATCTGTTAAACAGCGCACCGTCAGATCGACCATCAATATCCTCCAATCTCGATAAGATCTGTACTTGTTCTCCAAGTGGAAATCAATGTACTTATCAGACATTTTCACAATGTTCAAAAGCAACAGGGAAGCGGTACTATTGCACTCAAACAGCAAACCAGATACAGTCACTACGTAAAAAGAGGGATGTTCATCTGAATAGTTATCTACCGTCTTCTTTACACGTACGTACTAATAAGGCTAAATTTAAGTCTTCTTCATGAAAAATATGTCTTTTTTTAATTGTGAACTTATTGTGCAATAATATTTTCACTTCACAGGAGCGACATAAACGGTCTCAGTCAATTTATGTCACAACAGAGGCTGAAGCAGGGAATGTCTGTAAATCTGCCTTTAACAGTTCAGAGCCATTCCAGATATGTAAACAATATGTCAGTGATATGACCGATGCCTCTTTATTGAACTGCATAATGGATGTCAGAGTAACTATTCTTTAATGACATTTTTACACAAAGATGTGCATTAGTGTACTGATGTACGTGTGAAGTATTAAAAGACCAATCTGAATTTGACATTTATTTTTTAGTTGACTGGGGATGAAAACATAACAGCTATCCATATCGAAGCTGCTCTTAAGCAGTGTGTCAACTTCCTAGATCTGAATACCACACTGAAAACAGAGCAACCGGATGTCACGTATCAACTTCAGTCGCTATGCTCAAATAACTGTAGTAGTCATGGCATTTGCAAGGAGGGTTAGTTCATATATGTTATAAGATTTCATTTTGTAAATATTATATGCCAATTATATCTAAAGAAGATTCATAGTATGAACTGACAATCATAAAATTTATGTGACGTTTATTTATTATAAACTTTCATTTGAATTTGGCAAAGTATTGACACTATCTATTATATTTTTAAACCATAAATTATGAAAATAATTAAAACATTTTGAAAATTTGATTAGCTGCCATTTAAAGTGGTGAACAAAATCATATTTTGAACGACTCACACTATTTTCACATGTGCAATACAAATGCTTAGTTTTATTTATTCAATGATTATTATGTTTCTTGTTAGCATTACAAGTTTTTTGTTTGATTTTGTAAAAAAAAAAATCATTAACATACACACTATAGGGTTGAACTCTCTGAAGACCCTAGGTCATCTTTTAATGCTTTTGAGAAAAAATGACAAAATATTTAAAACATAAATCATACTTAACAGGTAACTGCACATGTGACTTTGGGTTCGGAGGAAGTGACTGCTCCTTCAATGTCCAAGCACCACCAACGATTCTAAGCATATCTCCAAACGGATCCTGTGACATGTCTTTGCGCACTTGTTCCGAAGTTCTTCTAGACGGCAGATACTTCCTAGAGAACATTAACAAAACATGTTTCATAACCATACAACTGGTACATAGAAACACAATTTTTCAATTTTTATATCTGAAAATTACTCCAGTCGTAATTTTATTTCCTAAGAGGAAAAAAAGAAGGAAGCGGATTTTTAGCTGTGCTAAAAGACCATCTTTTACCTTTGAATTTCTTCCTTTGTCTTGTGTAGCTTTTATTCTCTCCATTTATATTAAAGATTCACTATGACAACACTGTCTTGGATACCAAAGACATTGAACAACCTCTGGATGACAGAACCCTATTTCAGGGGGCGTGTCCTTTGCCTGATGACAGAAGGACCAAATGGATCACCAAATTCACATTTAACATATCTTACGATGGAAAACAGTTCACGCAAACATATTCAGTGTATAAATATCAGTCGGAATGCCAGGAGATCTCTTATGATAAGGGTGTTGAGCAGTTTTCACTTAAGGTAATCTAAAAACATTTACATTTGGTATAATTGTTCAAGGCTTCAGTTTTAAAAAAATCAACAAAAACGAAATACAAAGTATGACATAGAATTTCTGCAAATGTGCATCTCAAAAATAAGCAGTAGATTATTTCAAAACCTTCCTTCTAGGCAGGGTACTGTTTCATTGATAACAAATGCGTAAGAAGGGAAACTTCAAATCCGGTCAACAGCTGTGAGGTTTGCAGTCCTTCAAGTCAAAAGTTTAACTGGTCATTGTATAAAGGTAAATGCATTTATTTGTCACATAATCTGATAGGAATTCTTTTTTCTCTTTTTCTCGTTCTAATTGGCCAAAGCTGCCTATAAATGAGATATTATTAACTCAACGACTACGTATTGCATAAACTTTATGAAAATGACGTTTTGTTTGAACAAGTTTTTAATGACAAAAATGTGACTTGGGTAAAGACTTTCGTCCTTCGGCCCTTTGGTAATGTATTTAATCATTCCATGAATTTATTAAGTTATTGTTCTTATATCATTTGTGAATGTGATGTGAGAAAAGAATATGTTCCTTAATGTGTCTCTTTTTTATGGAGTTTCCTTTTTGTTATTGTAAAAGGACCATTTACTTCAGCTTTTTTATTTAATTCATTGTAGTTTTCCAAGTAAATTCTTTTATGTGTTTTTAAAATAATTATTAAACAAAAAGTTGGTCAAGGATTAGGTTAAAATTTCAACGGCATAAACAGTTACAGAAAACTTAAAACATTTTTTTTAAGATTGTGTTTCAACCACGTTTTCACCAACAACCAAATCTCCAATATCCAGTCCAGCTTTCATCATAAGTGTCTCTGCTGTTTCCTTTGTTTTTGTTGTGACTTTAATAGTTGCCATTCTTGTCTGGCGATATCGATCGTAAGTATATAAATCTAATTAAACTTCAAACAGAAAATCTACGAAAACTACAAAACCTCTTTTAGTACCAGTGAAATGACAAAACTTTTTCCGATTTTCTAGAAAATTTCTAAAGAATTGAAAGTTTAAAAATCGTATTGCTCAGTTTCCTTAGAATATATTATGAATATCCTTTAGACAAATATTAATATCTTCACAAAAGACAAAGACATGGCAGAAATGTGAATATTTATCTTGCTCATAAGGTATTTTATCAATAAAAAATAGGTCTGCTGGACGTCACTTAAATGATGATGACTCAACAAAGGACTTAAAGCTTCCAAACTGGAGGACTTACTTTGACGAGGGGGGAAAATTCAATGAGTTTTACATACCTAGAGGTCGACGGCACTCTGGTCAGCATTACACGAACGGTGAAAATAACTATCAGTGCTGAATTGACTTAAATCCTCAGAATAATTCGAATTTATTGTCTTTCAACATTTAACATATCAGCCGATATGTCTTTAGTTTAAATACATTTGAAGCTTTACCTATAAAAGTGAAGATTCGTTGTAATCATTGTTCTAATAGAAATATCGTGTCAGCTGTAAATGGCTTCGTATTCTAGGTTCATTCAGAATCCATTATTACTTAAGAAGTAAACGAGAACCTTATATCTTCTAAAAAAAACATACAGGAAAGAAAGACTACTAATAAAGTAGTATATTCTTCCCTTACATTTGCATGTTGTGTGAGTTTATTGTTTCTTTTCACTTTTTGTCAAGACAGATTTCTTGTATGTTTACATGTTTTTTTTTTATTAGTTCTTACCTGTATACAAAAAGTTTAATCAAATACAGAATTTCTTCTTTTTTTATTTTATAAACACATTTGCAGAGATGTATGCTAATATGTCAGTGATATATAGTAAATAATTTAATTCTGGTTATAACGCTGTATTTGATTGGATAAAAAATTACTTTATATTATACAAGAGGCCCAAGGGCCTTAACGGTCACCTGAGTACAACAATTTAGGGGCTCCATAAACTGATAAATGAAGCTTTGTTGCCCAATAGCAAGAAAAATAGTACAATTAAGATCAACAAAATAATTGATCTTGTATCTTTCTATCTGTCCCCCATTTATCACTATTACCATGCAGACTTTTAACAAAATGTCTACATATATATTATTACCTCTTACATTGGCCTCACTTGGCCTTTAAGAACATTTAAGAAGATAAGTTATTTTTGTTTCATTTTTATTCATATATTATTTCCAAGTCTACCTGATAATTAAAACGATGAAAGTACTTTTTGTATTATACAATAAATGTTCTTGCATAATTCTCTTATTCTATTAACCTTTCAAATACATTATCTACAGTGATTAATTATCAAAAGTGAATGGCAAAGAGGAATAACTTCACTCAATAGAATACAAATTGCCAGGACCAGAACACTTGACTAAATGGTCCAGATGTTCAAAATTCTAGTAAAAATACCCTTGCTTCTTAAAACTTTTACTCTGTTTGCTTCCAATACGCCCAGGTGCAGAGGAGATTTTTGAAGAAATAATGCATTTTCACTATTTAACACAGCCCTACCCTAACACCAGAACCCATGACCTTGGGTCATGAAAATTTACAAATTTGGAAGAGGTACCCTCATCATCATAACTATGCAATTAGTTGAAAATTTTCAAAGAATTCATACATTTTCACTATATAATCAAATAGAGCCCACCAACCCCCACCCCACCTCAGAGAAACAACAGAACCTCTGGGACCACAAGTTTTCAAAATTCTGCAAAAGCATCCTTGCTTATCATAACTATACACTTGTTTATTTGCTTTATAGCCAGGAGTAGAAAAAATATTTTGAAAGAAATTATGAATTTTCACTATATAATCAATACAGTCCCCCCCCCCTTCACCAGAACCCCTGACCAAGGGGCCATGAAATTCACGATTTTGAAAGAGGCAGCCATGCTCATCATAATAATATACTTAGTTTATTTCATACCCAGGAGCAGAGAAGATTTTCTCAGATTTAATGCATTTTCACTATATAAACGATAGAGCTCCGCCCTTACGCCAGAACCCCTGACCCAAGGGGCCATGAAATTCACAACTTTGGAAGAGGCAGCCATGCTCATCATAACTATGTACTTAGTTAGTCTATTTAATACCCAGGAGCAGAGAAGATTTTCAAAGAATTACTGCATTTTCACTATATAATCAATAGGACCCCGCCCTAACACCAGAACCCCTGACCCAGGGGCTATGAAATCCACAATTTTGGAAGAGGCAGTCTTTCTCAACATAACTATGTACTTAGTTAGTTTATCTAATACCCAGGAGCAGACAAGATTTTCAAAGAAATAGTGCACTTTCACTATATGAGCTATATAGCCCCGCCCTAGCACCAGAACCCCTGACCCTGGGGCCATGAATTTCACAATTTTGGTAGAGGGCTCAATGCTTATTACAATCATGCCAACAGTTTGACTGCTTAATGTCCAGGAGTAAAGAAGAAGATTTTTAAAGATTGCATCAATTTTGGTGGTTTTAGCCCCACCTCTCAGGCCCCAGGGGGGCAGGGACCATGAAATTCACAATTTTTGTCCCCCTTCACCCGTAGATGTTATATGCCATAATTGGTTGAAATTGGTTGAGCGGTTTCAGAGAAGAAGCTGAAAATGTTTAAATGTTAACGCACGACGGACGACGACGGACAAAAACAGATAGCAATAGGTCACCTGAGTGACTCAGGTGACCTAATAAATTGTTTGCCTACGTTACGATGACTTGCGTCAAAAACGTATCGATCCGCCTGACGTTACATTTAAATTTGGTACAATTTGAAGTCATTTTTTAAGGGAAAATAATCTTTTTTTCTTACACTTAATGAATGAAAATTAAACATGAGCACCGCTAAGCGGAGCATCCCCTCGCGGCAGGAACTTCACCGGTAATGGCAATGTCTCCATTCAAGAGAAAAGAGGGACGTTAAACAAGATACAATCATCTCGGCCTAGTAATCAAGGGTACCCAGTATTACTATATAAAGTTTAAAATAAGGTAAAGAAATTAAAATGTATTGCAACACTAATTAATTTTAACAAAAGTCAAGGTGGATATCATCGGGGGGGGGGGGGGGTCATAACAAGCATACGTGATTGGGCAGTTTCCCTTATTCCTAGCAGAAACATATCACGTATGCTCTAAATTTCATTAATTTACCTACCTGAGTAAACCACAGTAGCATGCAATATGCACCAAATCTGAAAATACGCACGGAAGTAATATTTTTTGTAGTGAAAAATGACAATATACCGGTATTGAGATGTCAATGAAACTTGAGAACCTTTATAGCTTTCAAGAATTACGCGCGCCTTAAGATTAAATTCCACGGGCCCTTGTTGTAAAAACACACGTGTGGTCATTTGCTGTTGAAACCGCGACGTTCATCAAATTATTTCAGTTACTCAGTGACAGAGATGACACTTTTAATTCATACAAACTTTCTTGAGATACGCACAATAATATGACAATACGCAAATACAAAGTCGAACTTACCGAAGCGGCTCTATCGAAACGACCCGAATTTTAACCTGTTAAATTTACCGGAAGTGAGTATAGTCCACTCGTACATAAAGTTGCAGGGTTTGAAGGTAGTAAAAACGCGATATTTTAAGAATTACTTCACGGGATTAACTTGAAAATGAAACGGGTTCTTCCTTTTACAATGCCACATAAGTATGTGAAGGCTGAGAAAATGACAATATACCGGTATTGAGATGTCAATGAAACTTGTGACACTTTATATTTATAGCTTTCAAGAATTACGCGCGCCTCAAGATTAAATTCCACAGGCCTTTATTGTAAACACACACGTGTGATCGTTTGCTATTGAAACCACGACGTTCATCAAATTATTTCAGTTATTCAGTGACAGAGATGACACTTTTAATTCATACAAACATTATAAAGATACGCACAATAATATGACAATACGCAAATACAAAGTCGAACTTACCGAAGCGGCTTTATCGAAAAGACCCGAATTTTAACCTGTTAAATTAACCGGAAGTGAGTATTGTCAACTCGTACATAAAAATGAAGGTCGTAAAAACGCCATAATTTAAGAACTATTTCACTTATTAACTTGAAAATGACTAGGGTTCGTTCTTTTACAATGCCACATAAGTATGTGAAGGCTGAGAAATGATAGTGCAAGGGTTCTCTTTAAATCTTTTCCACAAGCTGTAACTAACACACACACAAACGCACAGTAGCGATGCTATCTCCCTTCCGCAACTAGTTGCGCGAGGGGATAATTATAAGGAGTGAATTTAATAGCTACAAAATTTATACGGTATAAAGTGGGTTGGAACAGTTTACGCTTATTTATGAACCGCTTCGCGGTTTATAAAGCGTAAACTGCCCCAGCCCAGTTTATACAGTATAAATTGGGTAGCTATTGAATTCTGTCCTTAATTAAAAATATTATTTTTGTGAAATGCTTGAGCTTTAATATATTGATTCTTTTTCAAACTTCTTTATATTTTAACTGTTTGACTGTATATGCTTTGTGCATATTCCGAAAATTAGCCTTAATTCCAATCAGTGCATATTTAAAAAGATAATCAAACGGCTTTGTAATGATATACTGATGATTGTTAGGTCACCTGAGTCACGCAGGTGACCTATTGCTATCCGTCCTCGTCCGTCGGCGTGCGTCGTGTGTTAACATTTGAACATTTTTAGCTTCTTCTCTGAAACCGCTTAACCAATTTCAACCAAATTTGGCATATAGCATCTATGGGTAAAGGGGAACAAAATTGTGAATTTCATTGGTCCCTGCCCCCCTTGGGTCTGAGAGGTGGGGCTAAAACCACCAAAAATAATGCAATCTTTAAAAATCTTCTTCTTTACTCCTGGACATCAAGCAGTCAAACTGTTGGCATCATTGTAATAAGCATTTGGAAAATTTGAAATCACAAGATTTTACCAAAATCAACAGCTTAAAAACTTACGACTTTTCAACTTTATACACAACCATTCCCCACGATAAATTAAAGTCCAGGCTTTTTGATATCATTGACAGCTGCTTTTTTACTAAAAATGGAACTCGTAAATATACTTACCTTGTCATTGGTCATTTGCAAAATTATTTTGTTAAAAAACATTCTGATTGTACACACAAGTACTCTGAAGTTGACATTAAAAAGATGCTTGAGTTTCTGATTGACAATATCTATGTGGTTTTTGGAGACCAGGTTTTCCAACAATCTATTGGAATTTCTATGGGTACCAATTGCGCCCCGTTCTTAGCAGACCTTTTTTTGTATTCATATGAAGCAGAATTTGTCTAAAATCTCGTACGTGAAAAGAAGAAAACACTTGCTGTGGCGTTCAACTCGACATTTAGATACATCGACGACGTATTGTCAATTAACAATGGCTATTTTCATTCTTATGTCGATACGATATATCCTGGTGAACTTGAGATAAAAGATACCACAGAGTCTGACACATCTGTTTTATATTTGGATATTTTACTTGAAAAAGACGTTAATGGTAATCTAACAACCAAGCTTTATGATAAACGTGATGACTTTAACTTTTCAATCGTCAACTTCCCTTACTTATGCAGCAATATACCTTCATCACCTGCATACGGGGTATATATCTCTCAGTTAATTCGATACGCAAGAGCATGCTCTACGTATGTACAATTTCTAAAACGAGGTAAATTGTTGACAAAT